CAGGATTTCCAGGTCAGGCAGGGGTCCCGTTTCCCTTCCCGCAGGCCCTTCAGGGGAGGTAGGGGCCGCCCCTTCCATAGATCCCGTTAGTTCTCCCTTACCTATCCCTGACTCCTTAATTGGAGGTTGGTTAGCATCCTTTGCTGACCAATGGGATATTTCAGTTTCAGATCCTTGGATTAGACGTATGATTAGATTTGGTTTGACCCTTGAGTTCTCTTCTGTTTCTCCTAGCTTGTTTGTCAGGTGCCCTGTCTCCCATGTCAGGACCAAGCGGGTTCTGCTAGATGAGGCCATTCAACATCTTTTGGAGATTAGGGCTGTTCAATGTGTTCCCCAAGGGGAAGTAGGCCAGGGTTTTTACTCTCGTTTGTTTCTAGTTCCCAAGGCTTCAGGAGGCTGGAGGGCCATATTGGATCTTAAATCCTTGAACAAATATATAGTTTATCATCGGTTAAGATGGAATCCCTCCAGACCATTCTCCTTTCTATCCGTCCAGGTGATTTTTTGTCCTCCATCGACTTGACGGAGGCATATCTTCATGTGCCCATATTTCCGGAACATCGGAAATACCTCCGTTTTTGTTATCAGGGTAGGCATTATTAGTATAGAGCCCTTCCCTTTGGCCTTTCCTCGGCTCCCAGGGTCTTTACGAAGATCATGGCTGCCTTATTGGGCCATATGAGATCTTTTCCTGTTAGAGTTTTGTTTTATCTAGATGATATTCTTATTTTGTCTAGTTCTGAGGTTTGGGGTAATGAGGATGTTCAGGTCACCCTTCAAACCCTGCAGTCCCATGGTTTTTTGGTTAATCGTTCCAAGAGCAACCTAGTTCCTTCCACGTGCATCCAGCATTTGGGGGCTGTTATTGATACTGTCAGGTTGCAGGTTTCCCTTTCACAAGAACGTCAGGACAGTATTGTTGAACTGGCAGGTCAGGTTAAGGCTTCGCGCTCTTTTTCCCTCCTAGGTCTTTCCCGCTTGTTAGGGAAGATGGTATCTGCCTTCGGGATCACGCCCTGGTCTCGGTTTCATAGCCGGGAACTTCAGTTGTTTTTACTTCTGTTTCAACGGTCTCGCAGGAGCACTTCAGTGGCCAGAGTTCTCTTGACCCCAGCAGTTCTTCGGTCCTTGGCCTGATGGACCTCTCCGGCTCTTGCTCGGGGGTGCCTGTTCAGAGTTCCTCAGCGTGTGAGCATCACCACGGACGCGAGCCTCTTCGGATGGGGGGCTCACCTGGGGTCTCATCTGGCTCAAGGGCAGTGGTCGGTTCAGGAGAGGGGACTTCACATCAACATCTTGGAGCTCAGAGCCATCTTCCGGGCCCTTCGCAAGTTTGCGCCTCTCCTTCGGGGTCTGGATGTATTGATCAGAACAGACAATGTAGCTGCCAAAGCCCACATCAACCGGCAAGGAGGGACACGCTCCAAGGCTCTGATGAGGGAAGCCTCCCGTCTCTTCAGGTGGGCGGAGAGTCACTTGGCATCCATTCACGCCTCTCACATCTCAGGGTCATCGAATGTACAGGCGGACGCCCTCAGTCGCTCAGTGGTGGACCAGACGGAGTGGAGCCTCAATCCACTTCTGTTCCAGGACATCGTGCATCGCTTTGGTCTTCCAGCAGTAGACCTCTTTGCGTCCGAATCCAACCGCCAGCTCCCGAGGTTTTACACGAGGTTTCCTGTCCAGGGGGCCGAGGCTGTGGACGCCTTGATCAGCCCGTGGCCTTGTGGTCTTCTTCTCTATGCTTTCCCACCTCTTCCCCTCATCTCCAGGGTCATCAGGAAGCTGTTGCAGGAACAAGCCGAGCTCGTCCTCCTGGCACCCTTCTGGCCCAGGCAACCGTGGTTTGCGGATCTGATGGCTCTCTCCGTCGCTCCCCATTGGCAGATTCTGGCCGACAAGATCTCTCTGTGGCAAGGCCGCCTAGCTCATCCAGATCCTCAGTGGCTCCGGCTGACCGCTTGGAGGTTGAGCGGTTCCTCCTGTCCTCGGCCAGAGTCCCTTCAGAAATAATATCTACAATCCAGGCCTCTCGTCGCGGGTCAACAAACCGTATTTACAATGCCACTTGGATGGCCTTCTCTGCCTGGTGTCGACGTAAGAAGGTTCTTCCTACTGCTGCTTCCATTCTTGACATTCTAGGATTTCTTCAGGATGGCTTCAAGTCGGGACTCTCTCCCAATACTCTCCGGAGGCAAATCTCTGCCATCTCTTCTATCTTCACCTGCGGCACTGCTGAGTCTGTGTCCACTCACTCTCTCATTTGTTCATTCCTCAGAGGCGCTGCCAATCTATGTCCTCCGGCCGTTCATCGGTTTCCGACCTGGGACCTGAATAAGGTTCTATCGGCTCTTACTGGTTCTCCCTTTGAGCCTCTCCGGGAAGTCTCGCTGAAGTTTTTGTCTTTTAAGGTAGCCTTTCTCGTAGTGATCACCTCGGCTCGGAGAATCTCGGAGTTGGCTGCTCTCTCAGTTCGTCAGGATCTCTGTATTCTTCATGCTGATCGAGTAGTTTTGCGATTGGATCCAGCTTTTATTCCGAAGATCAATACAGCCTTCCATCGCTCCCAAGAGATAATTCTCCCCAACTTCTGCCCTTCCCCCCATCATCGCCTGGAGAAGGTGTGGTACAAGCTTGATGTTCGTCGGGCTCTCAAGATTTATATCTCCAGGACTTCTTCTTTTCGTCATTCTGAGGCTCTTTTTGTGTCTTTCCAACCCCAGTCCATGGGGTCAAAGGTTTCTTCCACTATCTTGTGTCGGTGGCTCAGGGCTTCCATTTCCTTAGCTTACGAAGCTCAATCATTGCCATCATTGCCAGTGCCTCATGGTGTTACAGCCCACTCTACCAGGAGCACAGTTACTTCGGCTGCCTGGTCTACCCAAGCTTCTCTCGAGGAGGTCTGTCAAGCTGCTACATGGACGTCTCTGTCTCCATTTATCCGGCATTACCGGTTGGATGTTTATGCATTGGTGGAAGCTTCCTTTGGGCGACGTGTGCTGCAGCGGGTATCCTCCCAGGATCAAGAGCGGTGCCGGCCTTCTCCCTCCCAATAGGTACATGGGCTTTGGTATATCCGTCGTAACCGGCGTTTCCTCCGTGACTGAGAATGGGCGTTGGTCTTACCTGATACGCCGCTTCTAGTCACTAGGAAATGCCGGTCACCCCCTCCCGATTGGTCCGGCACCTCTCATGCTGGATTTTGGCTGTTGAAGGACGGGGGTGGGGCCTGGGGATTTTTTACTTCTCTTTTATCTTTACAGACAAGACAGTCTACCGTTCGTCCTAGTCTCAAACTAGATACAGGAAGAGGCGGGACTTCTTTTGTTGGTAGACGGTCCTAGGATAACTGGATAAGTCACATCCCTCATGTGACCGGCGTTTCCTAGTGACTAGAAGCGGCCTATCAGGTAAGACCAATGCCCATTCACACCAGGAAGACAAAATTTGTAATAGTTCCTTGGTTTACTATTTACTGTTACTAGAGATAGTCCTCAACTTACAACTGCAATGAAGCTTGCCCATTACAGTCACAAGTCATTAAGCGCACCCATGTGATCACCTTGCTCAATCACCCCAGTGCCTGCTCTCCCCATTACAGTCATTAAGTGACTGATTGCTAATAAACCACAGGGTGCCTCGAGGGTAGGGAGACCCTGGGAGACCTAGCCCATGTCAATACTGCTATACTTTCCCAGCTTACACATGGCCTGCCTCAGGCCTCCCAAGGCCTTCTCCACTCTCTTAGGCACCTCATTCTTGCTTACGTCCCCATGATCATGTTCAAGAAGACGTCCCATCCCCCCATGAGCTTCTTTATGTAGTATGGAGGCATCAATTTTCCTGCACGTGATCTCCGGCTTAAGCAGGCTGTATGTGTGCATCCATTTTTTTTTTCATAGTAATCCGGATACTACAATAGGCATGGACCAACCACACAGATTATGAGAATCTAATCAGTGGGTGAGATTGGGTGAGAATAAGAGTTGGAGGGTTGGGGCAATAAGTTGCATGTGTAGAGGAGGGGAGCACAGGGAAGGGAACAAGAGGGTAACTTACTGGCTGCTGAGTTACTGTTTAGATAGGGAATGGCTGTTTCCTTTTGCAATTAGTTGCAAAAATATATTTAATAAACTATCATAGTCCCAAACAGGCAAAGTTTAGACTCAATCGGAGTCTTCAACAATAGTCTGTTGTTGAAGGTTTCCAACCTGCCTGCTCCTCTCACAACACAGGGCTGCTAGGCATAGGTACAGTTTTCACAGATAAGAAATTCATGAGGTCATTGAACTGCATCCCTGTTTTACCTGTACACGTTGACAGGTCAGTTCTTGCAGAGCTAATTGAGTTTCTAGGTTCTCTTGAAACAAAAAGGAATGGTGAGGGAAGACAGCCTCAACTTCAAGTGGTCAGCAGGAGATAGGCAAATCACAGCATTTACTGCAATGTTTCTTAACAATGAGAGTTTTAAGATGTGTGGATTTCAAGTCCCAGAATTCAGAAGCATGCTGGATGGGGAATTCTGGGAGCTGAAGTCCACACACCTTAAAGTTGCCAAAGTTGAGAATACTTCACTCATCATCAACCACATTCACAAAGCATCCTAGATAGTGTCCATAGGAAAAGGTAGTGACAAGAGAAGGCAGATTGCAACATTTAAAAACTGGAACAGTTTTGGCTCATTTTAAGCTGCCTCCACCATGGGCTGGGAACAAGTGGATAAAAGTAATGTGACAAAGCCAAAGTTATTTAAAAATAGTTAAGATAAATTTCTGCCATGGCTAGAAGGATGCGCCTCATAGATGACATCACCTTATTACATTTTATATTTATATAAATGGGCACATATATTTAAAGAGCAGCTTGAGAACTGGGGTGGAATGGTTTAATTGTGTGGAGGAAGAGGTTATAAATGGCCAGTTAAATCTACTGAAAGGGATTCTTAGGAGCAGAGTTCCATCTTGGTCTATCCTGCCTTAAAAGAAACCACAAGCAAAGAGTGTCAAAGCATTTTAATGAAGAAAATGCAATACAGTTTCTTGGAACAAGTGCATTCGTTTGGACACACTAATTAACCTGCTACATATTTCAAAGCAGAACAGTCTTAAGCTGAATTCCACAGTTTATAAATAAATTGCAATCAAAACTAGCAAGACCTAATTCAGCTATCTAGATTGTGCAGTTGAACTGTAGTTAAGTGTTAACATAATGTATATTTCAGCATTTGCTTCTGCTTTTCAATGTGATCACATTACTACAAATTTGACATTTTATCTGTCACATATATACAAAAATATACAGATTCCTAAATCTCATCCACCTTACACCTCTTTGACAATTATGAATATTTTGTTTTCCCTTGTATAGAAACAAGTTTTGGGTAATCTTATCTAAAATAGTAATAAGAAAGTGTATACTGTATTATCACAAAACTAGATGAAATAAAGGCAAAAAGAAATGAGTTTTACTATTATATCAACTATAATCTTTTCATAATTTATGAGTGTTGAGATTATTTTCCTTTTATGTTCCATCAAATCCATAAAATTCATCAGGTTGCTTACCAATTCATGTCCTAAATGAATAAAGCCAGACTTGCATATTTTAGGGCCTATTAACACACTTAGACAGATTCCGTTTACTGAAGCTGTTTGCTATGGGAAATAAAACATGATGTGCATCTCTTTAGGACTGTGTGGTATTTATTCACTAGGGCACCAAGATGGTCATGTTCAGAGATGGTTTGCTTTCTAAGCATTCACATTTCAGCAATCATCATATAAACATAAGAAACACAAATACTATGTAAAGTGCAATCTGGTTTTTCTATGTGACAAATTTCCACTGAACCCTTTAAGATGGCTAAAGTGGTGGGTAATGAGGGTGCATATCAGAATACATCACTGCATTTTCAAAAACATGGGAATCTCAAGGCCAAATAACAAATATGTCTACCTCTTAAAAAAAAAGAATAGGATTTCTCAACTATTCGATTAATAAGCTTTAACAAAATAAGGGGGAAATAAATCTACACTTATTTAGGGAGAATCAACATGGTTTATTTAATGGAAGGGAACTACAAAAGGAACAAGACTATGTGGCGCCTAAACATACCACAGCCCTAGAGTAAAAGAACATCATCATCATCATTTTTTAACGACCCAATAATCCCTTGTGGGGTGGAGCCTAGGCAACTGAATAGAGCTAGCAGAGTGTTTAATGGCCGGATGCCCTCCTGTTGCCAATATGGAGTTTTGTTCAGCAGATATATTCTCATTGTGCCCAGAGAGAGAAATATCTGCTTCTACCTAGGATCAAACTCACAGCCTCCTGTTTGTGAGGTGAGAGCTCCACCTCTAGGCCACTGTACCACTCCCTAGAGCGAAAGGACATGCCAGCAGAAAAGAGAATTTTTGAGGAGATAATGCCATTTATTGCATTTGATGGATGGGATAACATTCAGATCTTGAGGCAGTCATAAAAGACTGGGCACGTTTAAGCCCAGCACATGTCTAATGCAAATCTCTTAAGATAAAGGCAAGTTGTCCATAACAGGGCAGGAGAGAGTAAGTGAACAGGAAGACCATATAACAAAGAACTCAAACTTGCAATTCTTGAGCTATATGCTCCAAGTCACTTTCTGCGACCTGCAACAAGATTGTGGAAGCTCTAAATACCACAAAGTTAGGTAAACTGGATCATGGAAACCTGCGGAAGAGGAATCGGGTGAAAGACCTAGCCTCACCACTTACTTCAGCCTAACCCGGTGTATCTCCTGGCAAGAGTAATGCCTTGTCAGCTGAGTGGTATAAGTCAACATGCTAAACTGCACTACCTGCTAGAATCCCCATATGCTTTTGTGGGCTACTGAATACTATTCATCTCGGTCAATGCCCAGCTCCACAAGCAGAAGCAGCAAAGGAAAAATTTTGCTTGGGCAGGCAAGCTGGCAGGTTGGGGCTGCCCAAGAAAAGGAGGGAACGGCAGAGGTGGAAGGCCAGGACTGCTTAGTCTCCTGTGACAATCTCTTTATGAGGCAGGAGTGGAACCAGAATATTTGTAGGTCAGGGTTGAAATGAGGAGTCCTTGCCGCTCTCTGATCTTGGTTTTCTTGCACACATTTCATTACCCAAACTGATGATGTTGCCTAGTTTGGGTAATGAAATGTCTGCAAGGAAACAACCAAACTCAGCACCAAGGACACCGCAAGAGTGGGAAAAAACTGAAAGAGTTCTCTGCTAAGGCAGAGCAGTGAAAGAAAAAGAGAGCAAATGAAAAAAGACCAAAGGGAACTTCTCAGCAAGGAGGTAGGAAAAATATATCGTTTCACCAACTCTTAGTGAGATGGTTTTCTAGAGTATTTAATTTTAGAAATGAATTTGAAAATAATATCACAGATCAATATCACACTGATACTTTCATTAATAAAAAATGCTGCCAGCTGAATCACAAACCAGTTTTTCTAAGCTGTGGTTTGCACATACCTCAGTTTTGCAGTAAAGTCATTATTACATTCATTTCTGATAACTAGCCTTTTATGATACTCTTCATTTTCTTCATTTATGACTCACTGGGGACTTAGTATCAATGCATGAAAATGCTTCAGCATTGCAATCCTAACCATCACTCCTCACTATTCACATTTGAGATCTCTACCATATAGCAATGGCTGTGCATATTAAAAATATTTCTTGCAAATGATCACTTTAGTGTAATTTAGGATACATCAAACTAATGTCAGCCTGTAGGGAAGCTAAATTCAAACTATGCTGAATTACTCTGGACACAAAAACCCAACAACTTTGGATAGACATTTTCAGAGATGAAATGGCAGAAATCTCTAAAGGTACTTTTTATGTGAAATCCACCATTGTCACTCCTTGATTGATTTTGGATACAAACTGCCTGGTACGGGAAAATGTGTTTTCCTTCAGGCATTTAAGTCCAAAATGGCCTTTTGTGTTATTTTTAAGGCAGTTTAAAATCAGACCTTGAACTGGGCCTGGAGTCATGAAACATCCAGCACAGCTCCCTCCAGACTGATCTAATGCGATTCAATCTGGCTTGGACTTCTTGACTGTGCTAGCTGAAACTCTTGGCTCCTCTTTAAGGCTAATTGCAGCATATGCAATACAATACAGTAAGGGTGGGGCACCTGCTTCTTTCCAGAAGTTACGGTCAACTTTCAGCATTCATCACCATTGGGTATATTGGGAAATGCAGCTCAGTAAAAGTGGACAGCACCTCACTCTGTGTTTCAATAACACACTGGGAGATTATCCAAGAAGGGACCTATGTGGCTGGATTACTTGTTCATCAACATTTGCAGCTGGTGAACTTGGAGGCCAACAAAACCTGAAATGATAAAGCTGAATCAAGTAAAACTCCTAAGCTATTTGCCTGTTCTTTCAAAGAGAATTATGCCCTATACGTGCAGTACCCCCTCAATCAACTATAGTATAGGGCTTCTAGGCATTAATTAAGAGCTGTCTAGCTAGCCTATAATACCAACTAGGGCGTCCCACCTGAATGGGATATTTCTCTTTTTTAACTCATTCACCAGAAAACCAAATTTCTTCCTTTCCATCAATATCTTAGGTGGGAGTTCCTTGTAAATCCAAATCTTTCTTCCATACAATTGCAAATTAGAATTGAAGGAATTTTGCACGATATTATTCCTAATTTCCTTATCTGTAAAATAAATCACCACGTCTCTAGGCAATTGCCTTTGCTTGGCAATCCAGGAGTTGATTCGATAAACTCTGTCAATCCTACAAAACACTTCGTCAGATTGAACCTTTAGAATCCCAGCTAGAAATTCAGAAGATATTTTCCTTAAATCCTCTCTATTATTTTCCTGCAAACCTCTTAATCTTATCGCATATTCTGTGAAATTATATTGTACCATTAAAATCTCTTTTTCAATCTTCTGTTGCAGATTTTCTGCATTACCATACTTTTGATCAGCATCCATTTTAGGTTTTTCTTCTAAGCTATTATCCTGAGTGTTTGTCAAATCATTTTCAATTTTTTGAATTCTATTGTCCAATTTATCTTGAATTTCTTCCATTTTAGACTCTAGTACATTAGTATTTGTGTCGAATTGTATCATAAATTCTGTAAAACCATTAGCCACTTTTGAGAATTTTTTCTCCAAAGAATCAAACTTAGATTTCACCAATTCTTTAATTTCCTGCTTAAATTTTTCAAGTTGCTGATTCACAATCTCCTCCCTTCTTTCAATCTCCTCTATAAAAAATTCTATTATATTAAAATCAGGTTTCTGAGACTGAAGAGTTAAGACTTGTTCCTTTAAGTTATTGGTGGGGGAATCCCCCCCCCTTCTTGTTTATTTGACTTTATGAGTCTCAGTGCCATGTTTCCGCCCAGGCAGGCTTTGTTAAAAAAAAAGGAAGAAAGACTTCTTTCCAATCAACAACAATATCAGGTCTCCAAGGGAAAAAAAAGAGAAAAAGACACAGGAGCGAAGTTTTGTCTACAAATGTAGCCAGTGGTATTTATTCCGCTACATTGTAGTAATAGAAAACGGAAGGACTTTCCCTTTCAGCCTCTCCTCCAGCCGACGCCATTTTAAAAGGCTTTTTTTCCCTCTTTCTTTTCCTCCTCTCTCTTAAGTAAATTTTTTAAAAAATCAGTAAAATACTTGCAGTTCAGTATTACAGGTCCAGCTCACATTTTCTTTAAGTAGTCTGTTAAATTTGCAGCTTGCTTTTGACGCTTGGCTCTGCATCAGCAGAGGTCTCCCAAAGCCCGGAGCAGCGGCTGGGGATACGGGGCATCTCATCTGCTCCGTCCCAAAAGTAAAGGAAAAACTTTTGGGACTCCGCAGAGAGTTCTACCCACCCCTGCCGGCTCTATCTCCGTTTCCTCATGGAAACGGAGTTTTTTCGAGCCGCCATTCCGTTGTGAAGGCGGCTCTGACAGGCGATGGAAGCTGACGATCCCAAAGGAACCCCATAGAAAAGCCCTTCCAGAACACCAATGAAGACCAGCAAAATGGAATGGTGTATTGTAATTCCTATTACAATATTTTTGTATATTTATCTTTTGGAAACCACTATCTCAGAAAGATCATTTATCCTGCATAGTTTTCCAAGGCTTGTAGGAATAAATCTTAACAAAACAATACATAAAAATGCACCCATCTCATTCCTAAGGATTGCCAATGCCCAAATTATGCATATATAGTACATACAATCCTCTGCAAAATAGGTGTGCCTCAGTCCCACAAAAATTAATGGGATAAAATTGCACAACAAGATACTTAAGTCCCCACTTATCCACACCCATTGAATTAGATTGCTCAATTTTCAAAACTTTTGGAAAAATGTGACAGGACTTGTAAGGACTTTCTTACAAGCTTATTTCTAGATGGTTAATAGACAGAATCTACAACAGAGACAAATAGATATTGGTGTTATAACTGCACCAAAGAACAAAGGAAAATTTTAATAATGAAGAGGCCTTGGTTGCCCTGAAATGCTAAACCTCCACTCGGCTATTCTCTTAGGCTTCTGCAATTGGAGAGTATTGCAAAAGGAAATGTCCCCGAATATCATCCGCCAAATAAATAAAAAAGCAACTCCTAACTGATGGTGAATATTCTATTAATGCCACTGAAGTCAAATTGTTTCCCCACAGCAGGATAGGGGCAGGGACAACTGTAGCTGTGTGGGTGGATACGAAAAAGTTATGACCAACAAACTTAAGAGAGACCTTAGGAAGACTTTTTTGGATGGAAATCTTAAAGGGGAAAACAAGATGCCTGGAACTCTGAAAAATGAGATTATAAAAGCTCAGTCTAATATAATATTATTGAGAAACAAAAACAAGGTGAAACCAGCATGGTTGCATGAAAAAACTCCCTGATGAACTGGGAGACAAAAAGGACAAGTATAAGGAATGGAAAGAGGGACACATAACTAAAACAGAATATCAGCAAATAGCTCAACTCTGCAAGGATGAAGTTAGGAAAGCTAAGGCTCATAATGAATTAAGACTTGCAAGAAATGCCAAAAATACTGTAATTTTAAAAGTTGGTTTCAACATGTAAAACACAAGAAAAAGATCAAGAAAATGTTTGGTCCACTAATGGGAGAAATGGCAAGGAGGTGCCAGGTAGCAGGAAGAAAGCACAAAAGGAAAAAACCAATCCAATTTATCAAAAGCAATACTGTAGACGACAGAATAGAAATGCAAGTTAAAATAAACAAGAAAGTGGTAAGAAAACACTTATCCACTCTAGATGAGTTCATATTGCCAGGATCAGATGGATTACATCCCAGAGTTCTAAAGGAGCTGGCAGATGTGATCTCAGAACCACTGAACAAAAAGAGTCTGGAGCACTGGGGAACTACCAGAAGACTGAAAAAAGAGCTGATGTGGTCTCAATCTTCAAAAAGACAGGGGGGACCACTCAGGAAACTACAGACCCATCTGCTTGAGCAGGGATTTGGACTACAAAGCCTCTTCCAAGCTTTATTCTATATTCTATGATAGAAGCCGTCCCACTTTGGCTAAGATACTGAGCTTGTCGATCGAAAGATTGGCAGTTCAGTGGTTCGAATCCCTAGTGTCGCGTAAAGGGGTGAGCTCCCGTTACTTGTTCCAGCTTCTGCCAACCTAGCAGTTCGAAAGCATGTAAAAAAATGCAAGTAGAAAAATAGGGACCACCTTTGGTGGGACAGCGTTCCATGCGCCTTTGGCGTTTAGTCATGCTGGCCACATGACCACAGAGACGTCTTCGGGACAGCACTGGCTCTTTGGCTTTGAAACGGAGATGAGCACCACCCCCTAGAGTTGGGAACGACTAGCACATATGTGCAAGGGAAACCTTTACCTTTACCTAACAAATGGGGGAAGGTCTTTGATCATTAAGTTGTGGCTGCCATCTTGTGTTGTTTGGCACTACCCACCCTTGCAGGTCCCTGACAGTTGTGGCGTATTTGAAGTATCTCATAACATAGTGACATACATAATATTTAACCTGTGAACTTTCAATATACATTAGCAGTAAAGACGGGTGCAATGCAAGTCCCTAAAATTTATAGCTTCTTTTTCCTTTCTGACGCTGAGGCTGGAATCTGAGTTTCTTTAGATGGAGCTGGGAAACTGGGGCCTGAGGCTTTTCAAAGGCTGGCCATTTTCATGCCAATATAGTTTTCTGTGACTCAAGGACTGGTAAATAATCCTTGAGCTCAGTATGAGGAAGAGCTCTGAAAAGCAACATCTTCTAATGTTGAAATTACACTGTACATACTGGGTCTGTACATACTTCACTTCCAACAGTGAAGTCTTTTAATGCAAAATAATTATCTTGATTATCAAATAAGACCGACTGGATTTCAATGATACAATTCAGATTTTGCCAGACAAGAAAATACATACTATATGTCAATTTGGGTTTCAATTATATGGAATATTATAGTACTTGTCTGTATTGTAAGCAGTAGGAATTTTAGGTTACTTATGACATGGAGAACTTTTCTGTTCTCTTATTTATCCTGATTCATGTAGTTCATATATTTGCCTCTATGGAAATATATAGACTCGTTGGTTTCACTTCAGATATATAATTTATGTATACATAGTTTCAGTTATATATTATTGTATCTGTGTACTTTGTTGTTTATAATATTCTTCATGTAAATCCACTTTATGTTTATATAGCAAAACACAATTATTTTAATTACAGCAATATAAGAAAAAATGTGTTTTTATATTATATATATCAATTTTCTCTTATTTTCTAGAATTTTAAAGTTGCAGCACTAATGAACGAGAGTCTTCCATCCAGTCTTGCTGCACATAATCCATTTCACCTATTGATTGTGTAATCACAGGCTTATGTTTAATATAAAGTATAATCTGGCTGAAGTAGTTTTAAGTGGCATTAATGTCTCCTCATAATGTTGAAGTACGGTATATACTTACATCTCCCACTATAATCAATGGCTCTTAAAAGCCCATTCATGGGGCCTTGTTTCAATTTACCAGTCTTCTTAAATTATCTGTTCTCTCCTTTTATCCCTAGTTTTTAACCACTTAATATTCAATTCCTACCTTCCATTCAAAATACAATTTTTCATCAAAAATTTTATCCATTTAAGCCTATCCATCTCATTTTCAAAATGACCTATTCATCCATTTAAACTACAACTAACCCTGAATTTATCAGACTGTGTATTATTTATGTACCTGCAAACTCTTACATGGAATTTTCTCCCTAGAAGGCCTTCACAAAGCCACAGCATCACCAAGAACAAGATGATTGGTTAGAGAATGCAATGCCCACACTTGATCCTATCAAACCAAAAAGAAATAGGTGCAAGAGCATCAATCTTTGTCTTCATTTTATTCAACAGGTGTGCATTATTAGCCCCTAACATCACTTCAAGACCCTACCATTAAAATTCAATAACAAAAGGCTGAACTTCAACAATGTAATTTTCATCTACTTTTTGGGTAGTCTCCTGAAACACTTTTGAAATTTCAAAAGCTTCTGGCCCATATTGTCCACCATGCACCGAGAAGAAACCCCAGGTTTCTTTGTGGCCTAGATGGCCTTCCTTTTAGCTTGTTTAGGGAGGCTGGTAATGAAAACAATGCTTCACTGTCTGAAATTTCTCTGTCCTATTGAACAAGCTGAAAACCACAGAAAGTCAAGGAAGGCACATCTCCTATGGGAATCTGGATCCTATCTAATCAATTCCCTGACATAAGCTTAATTTACCTCCCCCCCCCTACTGCAATGAGGCACATTTAAATTTCTCTCCTCCAAGAGTCTTTTATCACCCATCACCAAAGGAAATTTGGAGTTTAACATATGGCCTGGCATTTGCTTTCATCATCACTCCTTCTATCTGGAATGGTCATCCTCTTCTACCAAGTGTGTAGGCTCAGGAGGGATAACATGGAGCAGTGAGGGAGGAAGGGGACATCTGCCTAGCCAGCCAGATCAGCCAAATCAATCCTGGCAATCAATGGGGTGAGAGGTGACAGCCAGATTGCCCTGACATTGCATTTACTTTCATCTGTTTGTCTATATTCTCTTTCTGTTGCACGGGTGGATAAAAATATACTATCTCTGGAAATGTAATGTCTATCTGTCTGTCCATCTAGTACAGTGTGATGGATTGTATTTTCATTATGTGACATCAGTGATGTAATCCTTCTGCAGACTTGGGAACAAAGGAAAAAAATTATTCTGGGGTAACAAGGATGCAACTTGCTATTTGTAGATCTATATTGGCTCTTAATAAAAGGTAAACTAGATGTTATATATTGAGGTGTGACCCAAAAAAGAACATGGTTTGTAATATCCATGGAAAGCTTTAATGGAAAGCATTCTTGGCAGGACAAAACATATACCTGAATAGCTAGACAGAAAAAGAACTGCATGAGAAAACAGCCAGCAGGAAAAATAAAGTTTCTTTCCATTCAGTCTTCTTTCTCCACATTTTTAAATGCTGGCATTCGGTAAAATTTATTGCTTCTGAAGACAAGTCCACTTTTGACTCACTACTGTCAGTGTCACAAAAATATCCTACTCTTGCAACCAAATCTGCTTCTTTTGTATCAGTCTATTTCAATTATACAAGTGCTGTACAAAGTGAATTTCTTACAAATGATGCAACAAACATTTATCTCAAGAACTAATCTGCCAATATAAGAGATACCTGCATCTAAGGCTAGAAAATATTAAAGAATCCAGTCTTTTTATTCTATAAAAAACCCTATGACCAGTATTGCTTCTATTCATTCTTAGGAGTGGAGGAGTAGAGGAGTAGAGATGCAATTACCAATATTTGTTTGTTGGCTCAACCACAGTTGTAAAGCAGCTTTTCAAACAAAAATGAAAGCAAGTTGCCTTAAAATACTGCCATTGCATTTTACAGAGCAAAGCAGTGTTGTATTAATAGATCTGGACTGAAATTTCTTTGCAGTGGCTAGATCCCAACCTGCTCTTTTTATTTGCAGAAACAAAAATCTCTTTATTGGGAGAAGGAGAGGAGGAACACTTCTAGAGAAACATTAAAATCAGGGACCTTTTAATGAGCCCGGGTGGTAAGAGTAAAATACATGCATAGGGTCCAGAAGATATTGACATGAATAACACCCGTTTCAGAGTTAGCAATATGAAAACAGTAATTTGTGTAGATGAAGCTGCTCCCTCCAGTAAAGATTGTAAGAAGTTATAGCTCTATCTACAGTAACCACAAATAATATACAGTACTGTACTGTAGTGCCCCACCTTAAAACAGACATTATCTCAAACAAGGAAACAGAAAGTGTGAATTTTGGGATATTCTAAGTTTGCTGAACAGCAATAAAGTAAAATAACATCTCAAACAAAGATCACCCTTCATTTAACTCTATCTCCAGTTGTGGAAGAGCAGAGCTAAAACAAGGTTTTCACTTTAGGAAAATAACAAAATTAGATGTTCATGCTTGGGATCAGTACATGTATACTTTTTACTGCTGATCATTCATAGATTTGTAAAAACATGGAGTCTAGATTTGCGATCTGCCCATCCTGTTGCATTGCTAGGGTTACTTTTTAAACATGTTTTCAAATTATTGTGATCCAGCAATTTTTCATCATAAAAATTGTGTGTTTTTTTAAAATTTTCAATACCAGCAATACCATAAATGGTAAAATGAAGAGTTCCGTCCCTTAATACCAAGCATAAAAATATTTTATGAGGGAAACCCCCCCCTTTTTTTTGTTTTAAACATTTAGATTTCCATATTTTTTAAACTGCAATTATTCTCTGTACAGGTAAGGCAGTGGGGAGTTGTTGCTCTTTTATAAGAAAATGTGCAGGCCACTAGGAGCTCTGCTGCATAGACAGACAGAGAGATCCTGAGCAGGTGGCAAATAAATGTTGCCATTCATTTCCAGCAGCATTATATCTGCTGGAATGATCAGTTCCTGAATACATTGTGCTTGACACAGTACTGCAGTAGTTGCTTTTGTGCATGCATGAGAACAAAATACATCAACACAAAATGGAATGTGCCTTCGGTGGAAAGAATTCATTGGAGACACAGTCACGTAATACATACAATAAGTGCAGCACAAGTTATTTGTAAGGATCGTTCATTGATATTCGGAAACACTTTCTAAATGTGCACCTATGTGTGTATTATTTCTAGACTACTTTGTGGCTAGTTTTCTACACGTGTCTTCTTTGAACAAGTACCACCAGTCTGACTGCACTTTTGCTCCATAAAGTTACTGGGGTGAAACAAGCATATTCACAATTAAACTAGCAGTTCTTCTAAATAACAACAGAAGTTATTTCCTGCCTAAGACTTCACTTAGCTCCAGTCTGAAAAGTGAAGCATGATATTTAGGATGAAATTGAAAAAGTGCAATTATTTAAATGGAATTAATCAAATTTGATTCACCAGATTGTCAAACACATCCAAGGCAGTGATATTTTTAGTTTGTTCAGCCCCAAAGTAGAAAAAGGAAAAAAGAATAAAATAGCAAATTTGAAATAGGCTGCTTTGACAGCGTTATCCTGAGATAAGAATGCTTTTATAGCTATAAAAATAGAAAGTGTAAAAAGGTACAAAAAAAGACTACTGAAATTTTAAAAAGTAATTACACTTGCTGTTCTGGAAACTGAAGAAAAGGTAAGGCAGCCCAAGCTGTTTAATGGTGTGGGTTGCAAACTAACAGGCAGTCTAGTGGACAGAAAAATGGGGGTGTCAAGACTAGGAAGAACCTGATTTGGGAGCAAAATGAAGCTGAAAGCTTTTGGTGATATATTACAAAAAGCCTCTACTCATTTCCCAACATTAGCATCAGTTTTTATATTCTGAAACTAGATCTCCAGTGGGCTATGCCAATGACTGATCATCCTGTCTCTTCAATGCATGTGCCATATCAGATCCAAGTTGCTGATTTACTAGGAAAAAAAATCCCAAATATTCACCCATTTCTGTTTCGACTATTTTAAAACTAACCCTCATGCCTTAAGAATGGCAGCCTGATGTCACCATTGTGAACAAAGTCTGAAATGAGTTTGATTACGTGGACATAAATAAGCCAAGGGACCCAGAGACAGACAAAGTGGTTGCAAACATGCCTAGGGCCACAGATCTGCTATCTTAGTCTGAGGTCAGCAGCCATGAACACAAAGCGTATTATCGTGTTTTCCAAGTAACACGTGGCTGTTGTATCTTCGAGACAGTCTCCTTCCCACTAGCAGTGAATTCTTCAGAGAAGTAGAAGATTCTTGAATATAGGTTGAGTTGTATCAGCTAATCAGGTCATTGTGCATTTCCCTGGAACTAATGCTCAGAACCATGCCTGAGAGATTGCCTATGGAACAAACAAACAAAGCACCAAGATTAGCAAATTGTGGGGCATTGAAAATAACCCCCCTTTTATTCAAGGAACAATTCTACCACAGTGGAAGGCTGCGGAAATGGTGCAGCAGATCTGAGGTGTAATGCTGAAAATGTTGGCCACTGTCGAATCCTCACAAATTCCTACAACTCTGAGCCAAAAGACAGCCTTCAGATTCAAGCAGAGTTAGGTGAGAAAGGAGGACAGCCCCAACGGCTTCCTTCAACATACACTGACCTGGGACTGGACACTGACTGCCATCAGCAATAAGGGAACTCTGTAGCTGTTCAAGTTTCCACCTCTCCCAGAAGGAGTCACTGCAAGGTAATGGTGTGGAGGAGGAGTCCCAAGGTGGGGATGGCGATAAAGTAGGCAACATAAAATATACAAAAACAACAGAAATGGATGGGTGAGCTGAGGAATATGCCATTGAATTTTTTTTCAAAATTATGAAAACAGAAAATCCCATTTGCTTCATTATATTATGAGCAGAAAATAATTTAACAATCTCATCAGTGAAACGGGGATGACAAAAGGGCCTTTCAAATTTAAATGACCTTCTCACAAATATTTAAATTCTAGTAAGAAGAGTAGAGAATAATTCATTTGCATGCAACCAGGGCATTTTACCCTCACAATATCCTCTGCATTAGATCAAACTTCCTCAAGCATGATTGTCTTCTGAACTGTGGACTAATTTCCAGAACTTTCCAACCAGTATGGCCTTTGCTGACACTTCTGGAAGTTATAATCCAGATGTTTATAAAGTGCCCTGCATAGGAAAAGGCGAGGTTGTGCTGGGCTAAGAGTAATTGGTCCAAATCAGCCCTTGTATTTTATAGTGATGAGTGAGAATTTGAACCCATGTTTTCCTGGCTCTAATCTGACATGCAATCAGTTATAGTAGCACTTTATCATCCACTATGGAACATTAGGATTGTTCCATTTCAGCAGTGAAATCGGGCCGGATCTATCCAGCTCGCGTGAACTGGTAGCACCGGCAGTGAGAGGCTCTGCCCACCCGCCGGGACATCATTACATCCCATTTTTGACCCTCTGCACATGCACAGAAGAGGCACATGCTCCTATTCCCGAACCAGTAGCAAAGGTAAGTGAATTTCACCACTGTTCCATTTATGCTTGACTAAGCTGAATCAGAGCATATCACAGGAATCAGTGCAAAAGCATATTAGTAGGTTTGGCTACAGAATGCACATCAAACTTGTAGTAGGTTCCAGTTAGCAGTATGAAGAGATGATAGAAATGAAGAGGAGAAAAAAATATTCTGGAATGGCTTTTTTATCAAAAAAAATGTGATTCATCTAGCAATACAAAAATAATGAATCTGTCTTCAAAATTATTTTTACCCTGAGCAAAACAGGAAATTGAGAATCCAAGGCAATTAGGAAACTATTCCACCCTTTTCAATACATTCTAGACCCAAACATTTTCGGTATCTATTCTTACTAGCTTCAGCAATTTTCTTCAATATTTTGTTTAGAATATCTATTATTAAAATTCAAAATATAAGGCACAGATCCAGCGATGAGTTGCTGCTATCCCATGGCTACTTTATGTAATGTAACTTCTTCATATGATTATAATATTTTTAGATTGTAGTTATTCTATTTTATTTTCAGAAATTCATTCTAGGATTTCTGGGATGATATTACATTTCTCCTAAACCTCTAGTTGGTGATACCCAAAATTTGGAGATGCAAAAAGCCATTTTACAATCTCTTAACTACCTGTATTACATTTTTTAACACACTATTAGCCTTCTTTCCTTTCCCTTCTACCCATTCCTTCCTCTCAGCATGAAAAAGTTATCAGAATCTAACTGAATATCTTAGGTGGGTCTGTGACAATTCGCCATGGCTAACTCTCCACCGACAACTTGCTGCGGCCAATTCACTGTGGAACAACTCGCCACAGGACAACTCGCTGTAAGACAAGAGTTACACTAATATCAAAGAAATAGTGGAATAGAATAATTAATAATAATTAAGAAGAATGCAAAAGGAGGGACAGAATAAAATGTGAATTGCAAAAATTAAAATAATTTTTATTTATTTTAAATAATGAAATAGAATTGTTAAATTGTCCCTCATCAAACTGCCCCATGGTGGGTTGGCCATGGTGAGTTGTCCTGCAGTGAGTTGGCTACAGCAAATTGTCCCATTCCAATCTTAGCTAGCAATCCAGCTGTATCCTATCAGTGAACTAGGTTAGACAAGCAGCAAGAGGGGTGGAGCACCCAGAAAATCAAGGTGGCAACAGCTGCTGTATCAACTCCAATGCATAGGAGTTGGGGCTTCACTTACATCATTGAGCCTGCCATCTTCACTTTTTGTGACCTCCCTACAGATAAAATGTAAACCAATAGGTTAGGTTTGTTTCTCATTCTATGCCTCTCCTTCCATTGCTTCCATTCTACTCTCGGCTTCAAAATCATCTGTGGTAAAATAATCCCACACCAAACTACTAAAAGTGTAGGACATAATTGGCCACGCATCAGCAACCTTTTCAGGCACTGGGCAGATGAACTTAAAAACAAAAAAGAAGGTCTCACTCTCAAATGCTGTGAGAGACTGGTATTTTATGTGATTTCAGGCATCTTTTGTCAATTTTGTTCAATTTTATTTTCAGAAACCAGGATCACGGTATCAATCCATGTCCATGGAAGTATCATATAGCAGTTAACTTTTATGAAGCCGTTAGGCCACCTTATGAGAGGCATTGGGAATATAAGGAGAATTGTTCTATCATTTAAAACAGAAGGGTCAACCTGTGTGTCCAAAGATGCTGCTGAATTATACTGTCTACCAATCCAATCAGTACATCCAATAGTAAGGGATGTGCCCCCCATTTATTAATTATGCTGTCAGATCATTTTTTAACATGCCTGCATCAATGAATTAATATATATATTTAAAACATTTAACACAAACAAAATTTGAATTCAGTCTTGAATATTCTTTTAGCCCTGTTAATTACTTCAGCCTACATACATTTTTATAAAAATCTCCAATAACAGTCACAAATGGCACCATGCTTTACAGTAATCATCACAATTGTTAGCATTTTCTATATGTTTTTTCTCAGGGAGCACCTGGCTCCTAAGCATATTTTCAATGATCTGACATGACTGGAAAAGATTTTGTGGAAGCTGAAATAAGAGGAAGTCAATATTATTATTTGTCTTAGGATATTCTTAAATACCAAGTAGATGGATACATTATTTTCATAAAGAGACTCTATATTTACCTCTTGCATTTCCCAGTGTTTGACAATCAAGATCGTCATCAATGAATTCCTCCCCCTGGGTATTTTGGGTATCCTCTCTGTGATTTACAGGGCTGGTCATCTCTTGTTCTTTTTCATTTTGCATCTGAGCATAGACATTTCTCCCTGGTAATTTCCTTAAGAACATAAGATAGTTTTTTTTAAATATTGCATTGCATTGCCTTGATCTACCAAGAGTGACCCATAGGTGGAAGCATCCATTGCAAATATGATTGTCTATGTGTTCATTCAGACTTCACTACTATGAAATACTTTCCGATGCTTATGCAAATATCCCAACCAAATCTATGGTTAAAAACTCCAAATGGCATCAAGATTCAGATAATTATCTTGGAATTCTTGTGTGTTGCTCAATTCTCTGCATTTATCTTAATACAGAGGAGTTTTCGAGCATACAATGCAGCATCTTTGGGGTATGTTCAACAAGAGCTCACAATTTCTCTACATTCCATAGTTACCTATACAAAAATGCAAGCTATCTTTTCCACTACAGATTATGATTTTTTTCATTAAAATGCAAGTATTTTTATTCTTTTTGGTGTTTTCATAATTTTAAATTATAAATAAAATAATGTTTTGTGCTTTTAAAAAATACAGCAATAATTTTTGTATTTTTTCATAAAGAAGCAATGTGTGGAAGCTCGTTAAAGCAAGATCCAACCTGGAACTAATTGAGAGCTAATGAAAGACCCTCATTATATGTAAAGCATTATATTCATTCATGTAGAATGGATTTAAATATTCTTATCATCTGACCATGTCCTCACACTGTATTTACCCAAAAGGAAGATGGCCCTGAATTTAAAATTGCAGAATGAACAAAATTATAAACATATCAGGAAGTACAGTTACTTCATCCAATCCCCATCTGCTTTTTTCTGTTTTTGCTGGAAGGACAGGTATGTATGGAAATGTGTGTACATATTCACCAAATTCTGAATGCAAGAGAAATAGTTAGCATATTAATAAACTACAGATGAATTAATTTTATAGACACTCTAAAATACAAGAGGCAAAGGCAAAGGCAAACCACTCCCAAAACTATTGACAAGGAAACTGCATTTAATCACTAGCAATTGTTATTTTTTGTCCTGGGTATCCCATGTTGACAGACAGTTATGCATACTTAAATACACACATAGAGAGAAGTCTGTCTCATGCACACATTTATGGAGAGGTGGAAATACTCAAGATTTGTTTCAGTTGGTGTTGACAGGGCAGGAAAGCTGCAAAAAGCAGTAAAAACATTTTAAACTATAAATCCATATATTCTTTTATTCTTTCTTTTGGGAAAGAATAGTTATAAATTCATGATTACTTTCCTTTGGTTGAATAAAATGAATCTGACAAATAATAAATAATACTCTTTTCAGCCTGTAGATATACAGTATACAATCACTTACCTTTTGAATTTGTAGAGGATTATGGCTCCTATAACCACAAGTGAAATGACAAAGAGAGCCATTATCATCCAGTACCCATTGCCTCCTCTGATGCTCTGAGAATCTGAAATTAAAGTTAAACCCTAGTAAGTGGAATCTTTAGCAGAATCATCTTCTAATTCATTGTAAAACATTTATCTGTTCAAATTGTAACTTGCACTGGAGTACACTTTTTTTCAGTGTGATGCAGCAATGAAATCAGCCTTCACTACCTGTGTGCTCTCTAAATGTGTTGGATTTCACGATGTTTTGCCTTAAATTCAACACCTGGAGGGCATCAACATGAATCATGCTTTCATGTTCACCTCCTATTTCTTTCCAATTCCTGGACTCTGCTAAAATAGATCTTAATTTTAATTACCTGGTGGACTAGTTTCATAATATGGCCCTTTAGTTCCCAAATTTAGTTAAAAAAATTAACGCAAACAAAAGCTTTATTTGGTATAATTCCATATAAAACTGACTGTTGTCACAGAATAATTCTGAATTATCTATCATCAATATTAATATAGCTTAAATACAGGTAGTCTTTGACATGACCACAACTGAGCCCAAAATTTCTGTTGTTAAGTGAGACATTTGTTAAGTGAATTTTGCCCCATTTTACAACCTTTCTTGCCACAGTTGTTCAGTTAATCACTGCCATTGATAAGTTAGTAACTCGGTTGTTAAGTGAATCTGGCATCCTCATTGACTTTGCTTGTCAAAAGGTTGCAAAAGGTGATCACATGACCTTGGGACACAGTAATGGACATAAGTATGAACCAGTTGCCAAACATCTGAATTTTGATCACATGATGATTGGGATGCTACAAAGGTTGTAACTGTGAAAAATGAACATAAATCACTTTTTTCAGTACTGTTGTAACTTTGAACGGTCACTAAATGAACTGTTGTAAGGATTACTGTTGTGAGGACTACCTGTATTAGAAAAATATTTTCCCTGGAGAAAACTTTACTACTGTAATTGTCCAAACAGAGATGAGAGGAGGGGAGGAAGGAAAAGGGAAACCGGAGAGAGGAGAGGTGGTAAGGGGAGAGGTAGTTTACCTGAATCAGAACTACCTAATTCCACAAGGACCCATTTTCCTCCTCTCATAAAGAAACTGATGTTTTGGGCATTCAGAGATTGTTTAATAGCAGCTAACCGCTGGAAATAAAAAAAAAGTCATACAGAATAACAAATCGGTGCATTTTTAATCCTGTTACGTTTCAGGAACTTCAGAACAAAAAGTAGATGCAACTTATGCAGACAATGAAATGGAAGCTTTGCTTCTAAACAGTTAACTGCTTCTATTAGCTCCCAGTGTAAGGCCAAGAAAAAGGATACTGGAAGAGTGACATTTTCATTCTTTTCTATCCCTGCCCTTATTTCAACCCTTCTATTGGGATTCCACATAATAAATTCTAATACGTCCAGGTTAAGAGGAACTAATGACTTTTTTGATAGTATTGTAGTCCACGGTGATGAAGTATATGAAACCCTTACCTTATGCACACTTCATCACCCAGACCCACTGAAAGAGCCCTCATGCTATGGTGATGAACATGAATTGTCTCTTAGAGGAACCATGGAATGAAAAATTCATCTAAGTCATGGAATGATAACTTCACCACTGTAGAGTTAACAAGGACCAAGAATCTTCACAGAATGGCTGATATGGTTCTCAAGATTTCTGTATCCTGTCTCTAGAAGTCTGGGAAAAGGCCACTTCCCATTTGCAACTCCTATTCCTCTCCAATTCAGTATTTTTCTTAGTTAAAGAAAGTAAGCTATCCCTTGCTTCCATTGTCTTCTGAGTGAATAAAGGAATACTTTTCTTGGCTCACAGGAAAGCCAGAAAACAAAGATTCTCTTGTTCTCAAAAGGCAGCTCATTATCTCCACAGAAAATCAACTGAGTATGTAAAGAATGGGACAGTGTCCTCTGAGCTTCCCTCTCAAATCCTGCCTGCTGTAATTTGTGGGAACACTTTTGTCAGATTAAAATTTACCACCATCCTACAATTAGAAAATTATTTCCCATTAATTTCATTAAGAATGAGATGTAGGCAGAGATGACTCATTACAGATTAATATACATTAGTTGAGTACCTTATCATTAAATACATTTTTCTTTCCTTCAGGATGGTTTGTAGACAGAAGCATATAAAAGTCAGCAGTGGTAGGTAGCCCAGGTTTTATTACTGTCATAAGACTTTCTTCAGGTAAGCATGTTTCCTAAAAGAAGAAAAACCATTGGATCTGGATGACTACCTTGAATTAGAGATTTTTTAATAAACTTTGAATTTGATCTATTTTTGAATATTTTAGTCAGATATACAGTAATATAGAAACTGCATCCTAACTGACATTATGTAGTTACACTAAAAACACTTTTTCAGAAGGAGAAAGAGATGTTAATAAAAAATAACCCAAAATTCGAGATGCTTATAAAAATATTTTTCCAAAAATTTATATATTAAATCCAACTATTTTACAGTTTCCCAAAAGTTTCGATTGGTGATGATTGGAGTACTTCTATTAGGACAAGGAAAATCTTTCAAAAGAGGTTCTCTGCCAACATAGAGGAGAATATACAAAGACTTCTCTTTGACTTATTAAAACAGCCATTTTTTTTTTCCAGGGACATGCATCTGCTTCCAGCTGTCTACCCTTGTGTATACTTCAGTTCACTTGTTTCCCAGCTGCTTTAATGATTCAAAGAAAGTCCTTCATGAACTTTCCAGCATGTTAGCACAGCATTTTAGAAGAATTTCCTCAACCTTATGTGCTGCCTAAATCACACCTCCCCATCCAAATTTCAATATCAAATAAAATTTAAACAAAACCCAGATTAAAAATATCAACCCAATTTTAATACAGACATTCTTGCACTTTCTAAAATTAAGAGCAAGCATCCTGTGGGTTACTTTTCTAAAACTAAACCTAAATTTATTTTAGGGGACAAAGTTTTGATTTTTAAAAATAAAGCAGTAGCAAGAAATAGTCTAACATATACTTATCAAAAGTAATGTACTAAAGAACAATCAAGCTCTGCCACAATGGTAACTTTTAATTACTTTAAATTTGCTAGTTTACAATCTGAGAAGGAGGTATCCATAACCAAACAGAGTACCTGGGCAATCCGTTGTGTTACCACATGACCAACATCCTCCCGCCAAGCAGGTATGTTTGGGTTGTATAAATCTAGATGTTCAGAAAACCTTAATGGAAGAACTTGATAATGATCTGGAAATATGAAGAAATAGTGCAACTAAATAATTGGGGGGAAAAACTTTCTAAAAATAGAAATTCTAAAATGATTCAAAGGATTCTATAAATGTAATTATGCATGTGTATCAAACAAGTTATAACTTATTTGTTATATTAAAACAACAAGTAACATAATTATAAATTATAAATCATGGGAGGAACACAATTAAACAGATATCAAAAAGTGCCCTGACTTGCATTTTCACAGCAATTGCAATGGCTGTAGATTATAAACTTCACTCTAAACTCACAGTACCTGCAACAGGATGATAACAATACATGATTACTAAATATCATTACAAGGATGGTGCCTTACCCAAAACCTGGATAATCTTGGAATCTTGAAGCATAGAATTTCCACAAGAAGCTTGAACAGTAACTCTGACTGTACCTGCTTCAGCAAAACTGGTTACCAAGAAATTTTCCAGTGAAAGAACTGGCTATAGAAAATAAGTGATAGAGAGAAAATAAATGTGAGCCAAAAAGTTCCCAACTGTGAATATTCATCTTCAAATCTGGGGTGTTTAGAAGGTTTGCCAAAAGTAATGTCTTTTTCCCCTAATTTGGAAATTCACTAAAATATCATAGGCATCAGCGAAAATCAGAGAACGCATATGACCTAATCCTCAGAATATTTATTCTGTGAAGCAACAATAGGGTCACCAGCTGGTAACTATCATTAATTGCTCTGCTACATGTATCAACTGTTAGTATTAAGGGAAAAAGCAACCCATCACAAAAACAAAAAATAATGAAGTAAAAATAGCAACAATCCTGATAAATACTAAATATTGATATAATTCCATAATGGGTTTCAATTATGAAAATATTCATTAGATATACAGGTAATATCTCTTAGCAATGAATAACAAAGATTGTTCCAGTATGTAAACAACTAAGGTGAAGGATTCAAAGTCAGGAGGCTTCATTTCTAGTTATCTTTGAACCAGAATTTTATTTTTTTTCTTCAAAAACCCCTCCCCATTGTTTTATTTATTAGGTTTGTTACCTGTCGTAAATAATTTATTTGGTAATTTACAGCAATGAAACATTAAAAAAATAAAATCTTCATGGTAAAAATTATAATTACAAAATCATAAATCCCAGAATTATTCATCTCAGGTATCACACATCAACATCATGCCTCTAGTAGTTTCTTTTCAATAGTTTTTGAGAGCCAAAAAATCAAGCTACAGGTGTACAGGTCCCATTTAAGTTTGCAATTGTGACACAATTTACGAAGTACAGGTGTTTTGTTTGATCTGGCCTATTTATGTGTACCTCTGCAGAGGCATGTCCTCATGAACATGCAAACACCTTCCCTCATCTATCCACTTTTTCCAAATGGTAGGAAGAATTTTAGATGTTTTCAATGAAAGAATGGGGGAAGCCATGAAACCTTTATTTTCTTTACAGCAAAAGGGGCTTAAAATGTGGTGAAAATCCCCACATTTTAGTATTAGCTACTAATTGATAGCCAAAAAGAACAGAGGAGTATTGATTCTAAGTATGTGAAAAGTAAAACATTATACAATATTATCAGCAATATTAATATTACTGTATTATCATGAATGCAGAATAAAATATTGAATTAAAATACAATTCATGATTTCATTTAAATGAAAATGTATTTTCATAACCCTTATTTACATTTACAAGCTTCTACCACTCAGTTTTTCAAAACTGGAAAAAATCCAGCAAAACCTTTCCTTGAACAACTCCCCCCACCCCCACACTTTTTTTTTTTAAATTGATGACCGGATGCTTTGCCTGGCTGAGCCCCAAACCTACTTGGTTCCAATGAATCCCTTTGGTTTCAACATTTCTAAGAGTTCTGAGAGGGGGAGATGGCTGCTTGCCGTGGCTCCCAAGCACACATAGTTTTAAAACAAAGAAGCAAGTAGAAGCAGGAAGCATATAACATGATAAAAACTAATTTCAACTGGAAGAAAGTAACTGAATCTAAAAGATTCCTATTTGAACTGTCTATAGTTTTTCACTGTGGTAGACGAAGGGCATGTAAATGTCTGATAATGATACAAATATCCTAATATTGATTTTTTTCTCGGCAACAGAATCACCCACAAGAAATTAAGATATCCCTGCATTCATCTAGTTGTCAGAGACTATGGAGCAGAACTCTTGATCTGGACTTAACCACAATAAAAAAATCAGTAGGTGTTTAGTAGGTGTCTAGTTAATTTTAGAATTCCCACTCCATAGACTCTGGCAACTAAATTAATACAGAAGTTTCTTAATTTCTCTCAGTCTCTAAATCCCTCTATCAAATATTATATTACATATAAATATTATATTATAAATATGTACATTATTATTTTTTCACAATGCATTATCTTCTTTTTCAGAAGTTTCTTGCATTGAAGCTTTTTTTTTTTTTCCACATGAAGGACTCCCAATTCAGGGCTAGGTGCACTACGTGTTCTTATCAAATTACGAGAGTTCAGGAATATTTTCCTTTAAAAATTAACTAGACACCTACTGGACCACTATGTTTGCAAGCATTAATTGGGAGTCACAGGCTTGTTGTGTGATGTTGCTAAAGAAACTTGCCATAATCATAGTTCACTTGGAGCACGTTATTGTGAGTGGTTAAACTATCTGATAGTCACACTTACCTAAGTGAAAATGCTGCTATTAACTCCTTTTAATGAAACGGGGGATTGGGAGTAATGCTATTTCTAACAGGACAATCTTCACTATTCACTACTAAGTAACTCCCCACATCAAGAGGGGGAGTTATGGATAGTGATCTCATGTACTAAGAAGTACAGTCTGAATTGCTAACGAACAACAACCTAAGCTTGCAACACACAGTGCTTTGCTGTTTCTGCATAAGAGACCTGTTATAGAAGTCTTTGCCAGATTTACCAGTCAACTTGAAATTGACCGACACAATCCAAGTCTCCCTCCTTTATTTCACTTGCTCACCCCTATCAGCCCACCTTTTTTTAACAAGTGGGCTGTATTTGTGAGGTTTAATACTGGAAAGGAGGAAACTGACTTCAGTTATTGTGGCAGAGACCCTGGCAGACAGAGAAGAGGGAGCTGGCTAAAGAGTAACAGAAGGCAAACATTGGACTCTCCAAAGGTGTAGAGAACTTGATAAAAGTTTATTTTCCCCAGTCCCTTGAGCATTCTGGGGCACGGTTTGAGAACAAAAACAACGTTTTTAGCACTTCAGTAGTTCAAACCTACACTCAAAGCCCCATTCAAAACAAAATGTGTTATGTTCTTATAAGGACATCCGTCCGGAATTGGCTTGAATCCTCCGGCGGGAGTTTTGAATAGCTGTCATAGGGGCGGAGGGGCTGCCGGAGCGAATATAAGGAGAGCTCCGGCAGCGCAGCGCCAGTCTGTTACTGTTCCAATAAAGTAGCTAAATGTATCCAGCTGGTCACGTCTTCTTTCCCTGCGCCTGATCTAACACTGGCGACAAAGGACTAGAGAAGAGAACCAGAGCAAGACCGCGTGGCATGATCGCCTAACTGAGCTGAAGTCACTCAACCACTGCATCCTACAGAATGGCAATCCCGCAAGCACCGATCGCTTCGCTGAACCCATTCGATCCGGCAAGAGAGAAATGGAGGTCGTACATGATCAGATTCCGACAATTTCTCCGAGGGAACGGCTACCAAAACCTCGACGATGAGCGCAAGAGAGCCCTTTTCCTGGCCCACTGCGGTTCTGACATCTTAGAGATGGCCATCGACCTTGGAGTGACCTGCAGGAAGTCCTTCAGGAACACTATGCACCCACAGGAACCCTGATTGCAAACAGATTCACCTTCCAACAGAGGAATCAACGGGAAGGTGAATCCATCAAAGAGTTCGTGGCCGCACTTTGTCAAATCGCCGCAAACTGTGAGTTTGACAATGTGGATAATGCCATCCGAGACCGCATCATCTTCAGGATGCAGGATGTGGGTCTCCAGAAGAAATTCCTAAACCGCAAGAGGATCCCACTCAAGGAAGTCCTCGAGGAAGCGACAGCCGCTGAGACATCCGAGAAAGCGGCTGCCACGATGGTGAAGGCGAGGGGGATCCACAAGATCCACAAGTTGGGCCAAAATTCCTCAGATGACTCAGCTACGCCATCTGAGACTGATGAGGAAATGGCCGCACACAAGGTTTCCCGCCCCCCAAGGCGGGAAAGTTCCCAAAATGGTGACCGGGGGGAACGCTGCAGCAGCTGCAAAGGTGACCACCCCAGAGCAAACTGCAGATGGAGGGACGCGACCTGCCATCATTGCCTAAAGAGGGGACACATAGCCAAGGCCTGCAGAGCAGCAGATCCAGCCCCCGAACCACCCAGGCCAAGATTCCGCGAAAATCACAAGGATACCCAGAGGACATCCAAACAGTCCTCGTATCAGTCCAGGTGCGGAGACGATGAATATCCTCGCAGCAGAGTGGTGCACCAAACCACAATCGCCCACACAAGCAACGACGGTGCCACAAAATTCAATGTGACACTGCTGGCAGAGGGGTCACCGTGCACAATGGAAGTAGATTCAGGCTCCATCTACTCCATTATGGACTGGCAGCATCTGAAATGCCTGAAGCCAGCCTGTGAGAAAAACCAGTTGAAGCCCCTGCGGTCGAGGCTAGTGGACTTTAGCGGAAACCCCATCGGTGTCCTGGGCAGAACCACGCTCCACATCTCCTTCAAGAAATACCAAGGCAACCTTCCTATCACTGTCGTGGAACACAGCCGGCTGAACCTGCTGGGAGTGGAGTGGTTCAAACTACAAGGGTTATCAATCGGAGGCATCCAGCAGATTCAGAGGGACGAACTCAACCTCATCGAAGAGTTCAAGGAAGTCTTCGATGGTAAACTTGGTAGATTTGTGGGAAAGCCAATCTCCTTTAATCTGGACAAGGGAATCACCCCAATTAGGCTGAAGCCCTGCTGGGTTCCATTTGCCTTGCGGCCCAAGGTAGACGCTCAGCTAGATAAGCTGATCGCCCAAGGCGTTCTGGAACCTATCGATCATGCTTCATGGGAAACCCCCATTGTGACGCCAATGAAGCATGATGGATCTGTGCGCATCTGCGCCAACTATACGTGTACCATCAATAAGGCGTTGCCGCAGAGCGCATACCCAGTGCCAGTGGTGCAGCATCTGCTGCATTCCCTAGGAACTGGCTCAATTTTTGCTAAACTGGACCTGGCCCAGGCTTACCAGCAGCTGCCAGTGGACGAAAAAACAGCGGAGGCCCAAACAATCATTACTCACAGGGGAGCATTCAAATGTAACCATCTCCAATTTGGAGTCAGCGCTGCCCCAGGAATTTTTCAATCAATGATGGAACGCCTCCTTCAAGGCGTTCCAGGGGTGGTGCCGTACTTCGATGATGTACTAATCTCCAGAGATTCCAAAGCACAACTCCTTGAACGGCTCAGACTTGTCCTGCAGCGCTTCAAGGCCAAGGGCTTGAGAGTCAGGAGAGATATAAATGCATCTTAGGAGTCCAGGAGGTCGAGTTCCTGGGCTATCTCATAGATGGCACAGGCATCCACCCCACCAAATCAAAAGTTAAAGCTATCCATGAAGCTCCCAACCCCAAAAACAAAGCGGAGCTTCAGGCATTCCTTGGATTGCTTAACTATGCTATATTCCTCAAACAGAAAGCCACGATTGCTGAGCCACTTCACCACCTACTGGGGAAAGCGGCTTCCTGGAAATGGGACCAAGAGGAGGAAGCAGCATTCCAGGCCATCAAAGGACTATTAACATCCAAAAGGGTCCTCATACAATACAATCAGATGCTCCCAATCAAGCTCACCTGCGACGCATCGCCATATGGGGTTGGAGCAGTGCTCAGCCATGAACTACCAAATGGCTCGGAAGCTCCTATCGTGTACTTCTCTAAGACGATGTCCAGCGCTGAACGCAACTACAGCCAGATGGACAAGGAGGCTTTGGCTATCATCGCAGGAGTCAAACGATTTCACGAATATGTCTACGGGAGGAGCTTCACCATAGTGACTGACCACAAGCCGCTGCTGGGGCTCCTCGCAGGCGACCAACCAACCCCGACCTTCATGTCCCTGCGGATGACAAGATGGGCCATCTTCCTAGCCGGCTACTCGTACAGACTTGTGCACCAACCAGGCAAGTCCATCGGGAATGCCGACGCGCTGAGCAGATGCCCATCCAGAGACCCAGTGGAAGACCCAGCCCCCATGCTCAAACTCTTCCACATCGACAGCGATAACAGCTGCCCAGTCACATCTGCAGACATGGCCGTCCATACACAGAAGGACCCCAAACTCCGCCAAGTCAAGTCTTGGATCCTCAGAGGGTGGCCGACGGAGAAGACAGCAAAAAAATTCAGCCCCTTCACCAGAAAACAAAAGGAGCTGTCCACCATGAGAGGCTGTTTACTATGGGGAGACAGTGTGCTGATTCCCAGCCCACTGCAAAAAAAGATGCTAGAAACGCTGCACAACGGGCACCCCGGCATCGTCCGCATGAAAGCCCTGGCACGGAGTTACGTCTGGTGGCCATCACTGGACAAAGACATTGAGGAATGGGTATCCAAATGTGACCTGTGCCAAGAAGTACGTTCCGTGCTACCCCAAGCCGAACCATCGCAATGGGAGACCCCCTGTAGCCCCTGGTCAAGGATCCACATTGACTTCGCGGGTCCGATGCAGGGGCGCCACCTACTCATCATCATGGATGCATTCTCCAAGTGGCTCAAGGTGGTACCCATGGCATCTACCACAACCGAAGCGACGATCCGAGCTCTCCGCCGACTCTTCGCTACCCATGGGCTGCCGGACATGTTGGTTTCTGACAACGGGCCCCAACTTATGTCCTTGGCCATGGAAGCATTCCTGGCCGGACTGGGCATCTGCCATGCCCTCTCAGCACCGTACAGGCCAGCGGGAAATGGACAAGCGGAACAAATGTTGAGGCTCACCAAGGAAGCGCTCACCAAAATGGGCATGGGTGATTGGCAGGAGCAGATTGACAATTTCCTCCTCACCCAACACATCACCCCACATGCCACCACAAGAAAATGCCCGGCGGAGCTGTTGATGGGCAGAAGACTCCGGTCACCACTGGACAGACTGCACCCTCAATACGACTCAGAGGTACCCGCAACCACCAGCCACCAGCTTCGCCATAGGAGACCCAATTTTCACATTGAACTTTCACGGCTCTCCGAAATGGCTGAAGGGGAAGATCAAGAGCACAACCGGCCCGAAGTTCTATCGGGTAGAGCTGGAAGATGGACAGGTCTGTAGATGTCACATCGACCAGCTCCAGAAAAGATGGAAGGGAGTGGAAGAAAATCAACCCAACGAGGTAGGCCTGCAACACCCCGAAGAGGTAGGCTTGCCTCAGCCAGATGGGGTAGGACTGAAACACCCCGACGAGGTAGGCCTGAAACACCCTAACGAAGTAGGCCTGCCACACCCCGTCGAGGGAGGATCACCACACCCTGCCGAGGGAGGACCGCCACCCAGAGTTAACCTTGATCGAGATGCAGTGCGAGTAGACGGGGACCATCCACGGGGGGCACCCCACAACCCCCCAGTGAGGGCGGCCGATGACACCCCGGGCCCAGAGACCAACCAATCTGCAACCGTGGGACAGTAGACCAGAACCCAGAGGTCAACCGCACTCCACAATGCCTCGGGGAGGTCGGTCAACAACACCCAGGGAGGGGAGACCTCCACCCGAAAGAGCCAATAGACTGGTACCCTGCCACAGCGGGAAATCCACAACACCCCAGCAAGGTCGGCACCCAACCCACCAGGGAGGAAGACCTCCAGCGACCTCACCAGGCAGACCGACTACACCCCAGCTAAGACACAAACCAATCCTGCAAGGAGGGCCTCCACCACCCCAGCGAGGAAGGCCTGCACCAACCCGACAGGGACGATCAACTCCGGCACGATGGCCGCAGAAATCATCGACCACCCGGGCAACGCCATTCCAGCAGAGATGGCCTACACCACCCCTGCGAAGGAGGCCAGCACCACCCCGGCGAGGTTGGACAAGAACCATCACGTCCTGGCAGTCACCCTGGGAGGGCATCGGTCTCAACCAAGGGACACCGGGGCCAGAACCAGATGAAGCCACGAGACCCGAACTCCCGACCGGAACCAGCCACCACTAAACCGGTAAAAGCCAAAAGGGACACCAGAGATTTATCGGGATCCAGTAGTTCCATACCGGTCAGCGACGACGGTCAGCGGCAAGTAATCCACAACCCAGACAGGGAAGAAGACCAGCATTGCCAGTGGGCGGAGGTCTGAGACCCGGCCGGAGGCGCAGGGACCCAGCCCACGCACTCGACAGCTGAATCCTGTCCGGTTCCAGGGAGGGAACCGGGAGACGCAGGAACTCCATCCGTCCAAGAAGACTGCCAAACTAGAATGGGACTGCGCAGGTCATCTAGGACTTCTCGATGTCCCGCGTACCTGCACGATTACGTACTTGATGGACAGACTAAGAACAAGGGGGGAGGAGTGTTATGTCCTTATAAGGACATCCATCCGGGATTGGCTTGAATCCTCCGATGGGAGTTTTGAATAGCTGTCATAGGGGCGGTGCATCTGCCGGAGTGAATATAAGGAGAGCTCTGGCAGTGCAGCGCCAGTCTGTTACTGTTCCAATAAAGTAGCTAAATGTATCCAGCTGGTCATGTCTTCTTTCCCTGCGCCTGATCTAACAAAATGCCTAACAGTAAACTGTTCTGGCAGTAGCATTTTGCAGATTGTTATGTTGCTTTCACACCAACAATCTCTATACGCCTGCCAGCCTTAGCTCTGAGTGTATAAGCAGCTCCTTACTTAAGTATGAGCCAGCAGTGTGATGCAGCTGCCAAAAAAGCTAATGAAATTCTAGGTTGCATCAATAGAGGCATAGTTTCAAGATCATGTGAAGTGTTAGTACCATTTTATGGTACTGAGACATGGCTGAGACCACATTTGGAATATTGCATCCAATTCTGGTCACCATGACACAGAAAAGATGTTGACACTCTAGAAAGAGTGCAGAGAGGAGCAACAAAGGTGATTAGGGGAATGGATAACACGAACATAACATGAACGGCTGAGGGAACTAGATACGTCTAGTCTAATGACGACAAGGATTAGAGGTGATATAATAGCAGCCTTCCAGTACTTGTGGGGCTGTCACACACAAGAGGCAGTAAATGTATTCTCCAAAGCACTTGAGAGCAGGGCAAGTAGTAACAGGCAGAAGATCATTAAAGAAAGATTCAACCTAAAACTAAGGAAAAAACTTCCTGACAATGAGAACAATTAATCAGGCTTCGCTCTAGAAGTTGTGGGTGCTCTATCACTGGAGGTTCTCCAGAAGAGACTGGACAGCCATTTGTCCAGAATTATATAAGATCTCCTGCCATGGGCAAGGGGTTGGAGTACGTGCAAGACAGCCATTCAAAGAACCTCAGTTAACAATTTATACTTCTCACTGAGATTACAGTGCTAAAGTGAATAGGGGGGAAGTACAGGATGTCAAACCTTCAAAAATATTTAACAATAAAACTATAGTTTAAGATAATAAAACTAGTTGTTTTAGGATACTAAGATACCTATAAATTTTATAAATAAATAAATGCATACATACATATTGAAATTAGCATAAAAAGGTTCAAATGCTGGAAAAAATGACAGTAATAATTATTCAATACCTGAATATTGTTTCCAATCCACCAGTAAAAAAGTGTAAAGTTAGAATTCCTTGGCAGGATGATGGCTGTCAAATTCACCTCCCGGTTTCTGCCAACAGCAGGAACTACTTCAAGATGTAAAGCCTGCAGTGGAGCTGGAAAGAGTCCCAACTGTTAATTAAAAAGCCATTAATTTATCAAACATCTTGTGCTTTCAAATACATCTTCTAAAGATACACTAGAGTGTTCAGGGACATCTTTTAAACTTTTCAAGCAAATTCAAGAGAACGTCACTTCCTTAGGGACTGAATTAAATTATATTAAATTTTATTGCTCAATAGAAAATTAATGTTAGTAATTCTCACTGCAAATTAAATTGTCTTAGGTTTTTATAACTTGTTGAAATTTTAATTAAGATACATTTTTAAAAGTCGCATTTATTTTATTTGGAAAACTTAAATAAATACTGTATTTATATTCCTTCCAAATCAGGAAGGGAAAACCTAAAGCTGATGGGTTGTATATATATACATGTATATATATTAGATAGAAGCAAATAGGAAGAGTGAGATTTTCAATTCGGGGACCACAGAGTTTCCAAACACTGGGAACAAGAGACTGTGAAACCTCTGAACTTGTCTGACCAAGTCTAGAGAAAGCTTTACATTTGCATTATTTACACTGAGGGTTATGCTGCCTTCTGAGGAGCAGAATTTATTAGTTATAAGCTGCATAAACTACAGGGACTATTTTTTCCCAATATTGTTGCAGGGTGCATGTGGCCTGTGAACCATGAGATTGGGATACTGATCCTACAGTTTTACAGGGATTCCCTTACATTAGAGCTAATTTCATATGAATGAAGTCCTGGAACTGTACATCACTATTTTCCCCCAATTCAATTGTTACTCATTGTTGACAATGCATTTATTAGAAAACTATACTACATATTTGTCGCATAGTGCTCTAAGTGCAGGATCAACCGATGTTAGAACAATTACAAATGCTTTCTACCTGCTGTATTGCTTTGCAAATCTCAGGCTTTATATGCTGCCATTTTCAAATAACTTTCTCCCATGGAATTCCACCAACTATATGTGAACCATCACATATATCTAGCACTGCACAGAGATGAACATAATCAATAAAAGACCTTACAAAGAAGTTCAACTTCTTTGCTGGGACTGTGGTTTTCCTTTTCTCAGCACCATTACGTTCTTCCAAAACAAACTATCAGATTTTATCCCTCCATTTATCCACAAAAATCAAAAGTTGAATTTATTCTAATTGGTAATAGTTGGATATATTACAACATTAAATCACCAGAATTCAATTGTGTTTCAAAGCTGTAATTACTGAAAACAGCAATCAAAGCAGTATTAGCAAGCCTGAGAGAAAGTAGTGTTGGTTGCGTGTCATGAGGCAAGTCAGATGTCTGCTACACTGCCTTTAAAATTAAATTTAGGTAGAACCCTGTCATATATCACTGATGTCAGTATATAAATGGCATGGTGCGAGAAGGGGGTTGAGGGTTTTTTTAGCTAAATTTTTAATCAAAATTTTAAGGGGACCCGGGAGGAAGGGAGGGGGTTATAAAAGTCGACCCGGGGGGGGTGTTCAAATAGCGACTGAGCGGGGTGATGGGTCGATTGGCTGCAACAGAGGGGTCGTGAAAGGAAATTTAACCGGAGAGCAGGGGGACGATAGGAAGGGCAATGAAATTGAAACAATGAGTGGGAGGGGCAGGTATGACGGGTGCAGGGGGCCATATCATGTGCTGGGGGTGCGTACACGCTGTTTACGAGCAATTACGCACTCCGGCCCCCAATGCGCGACTCGTGTCCTGGGTTGCGCAGAGTCTCAGGCCCAGGGTCCGCGGCTGATGTTGTGTAATGCCAGGTCGCTTGTTTTTTTTTTTTTTTTTATTGAAAAAGTTTTCAAATACAAATTTTTCCCCCTTTTTTCCCCTCTCCCTCCCCCTCCCTAACCCCCCCTCCCCACCCATCCCCCCTGTGACTTCTTCATAACAAAAAAAAACCTAATTCATAACAGATTACTTACTCCCTCCTCTAGATATTGACCTTTACTTACTAAAAATATTATTAATATTATAACATCCCCCTTTATCCATACATATCAAAAAAGAGAAAAGAAAGGGGAAAAAAAAGACATTATACTATGACATTGTAGAATAACTTCTCCACTTTAAAACTATACGATAAGTCCTACTTTAACATTTAATCTTCTATATATATTACTATAACATTTCAAAGCGGCCTTCCCCATAAAATCTAGTTTAACATTTATTCCACTCTATCCATTTCCTCCACTCCCCCAAGTATAACACTTAAAAATCCCTTTTCTTAGACTAGTCAATCTACTAACTAGCTTATTCACCCACTATCATGCAAAATTGCCATACACAACATTTCTTAACATCTTTGATTCACTGCCCACACTACTTAAAAATATATGTCTATATTTTCCATTATATCTAAATAAAAAAAAAGAAAAGACAATGACTTTAAATTTATAATCCATATAGTATCTTCTTTGAGGTCTTTCCACTGGATTGGTAGAACCAACATCCATAATCGGGTAACATAGCTCACTGGTGCAACAGTTTATTCAGGATCTTCAATCATATCTGCCCCCATCAGTAGTAAATATCTTCTTATATGTATAAAAGTAAAAACAACCACCCGAGTGACATTATAATTATATTCCATATAGTAATAATTGTGGGTTTCATCAGGATTATTAATTCCCATCATCGTAGTGGGTAACAACCCGATCTTCTGCATGCCCCAGCATAATTCTCTTGCCTTGTGATTCAAGATAATATAATATGTTTATCAACACAAAAAGAAATTCCAAAATGGATAATTCAAATCCATCAGTTTAAGGCTCGTTTCACGTCCCCAGATTACGGCCATGCAGAGATCTGCCACAAACCTCAGGATGATATTAACCAATACGTCGCCTCTTCTGTATTTACACATAATCGATCATATTTTAAAATCACTGGCTTCACTGTTGCCTGATTTAGAAATTTCTATTTCTATGCCACCTATTTCTTTTTTTCTTTTCTTTTTGTGGGTTTGGTTTCCATCCTGGTTCCCTTTCTACAAAATATGTATCATCTGGTCGGTTTTTATTCTGCTTTGTAGATTGGTCTTGTTGGTTTTGCTTTTGTATCTCATATTTCTTTTTTATCCCTTGTATATCCCCTAATTGGTTTTCCATGTTTATCCTTGCCTTGATAAGTCATCACATTAAGATTAGATGCCTCTTCTCTCAAATTTGTAGATAGTCCAGCTGGGGTATCCAATAAATCCAAAGGCAATTCATCTGGTACAGTCTCTGTAATTCGAAATTTTACCTTTATTTCCGGCTCCTTCTGCTTATCCTGTATTATACCTGGAGATGTTAAATTCATTTTCAACCTATTTTGATAAAATTCTTCCGCTCTTTCAACAGTATTTAGCTGATATCTTTCTCCTTGGTATCTAAATATAATACCAACTGGGGCGTCCCACCTGTAGGAGATATTTCTCTTTTTTAACTCATTCACCAGAAAACCAAATTTCTTCCTTTCCATCAATATCTTAGGTGGGAGTTCCTTATAAATCCAAATCTTTCTTCCATACAATTGCAAATTAGAATTAAAGGAATTTTGAACGATATTATTCCTAATTTCCTTATCTGTAAAATAAATCACCACATCTCTAGGCAATTGCCTTTGCTTAGCAATCCAGGAGTTGATTCGATAAGCTCTGTCGATCCTACAAAACACTTCGTCAGGTTGAACCTTTAGAATCCCAGCTAGAAATTCAGAAGATATTTTCCTTAAATCCTCTCTATTATTTTCCTGCAAACCTCTTAATCTTATCGCATATTCTGTGAAATTATATTGTACCATTAAAATCTCTTTTTCAATCTTCTGTTGCAGATTTTCTACATTACCATACTTTTGATCAGCATCCATTTTAGATTTTTCTTCTAAGCTATTATCCTGAGTGTTTGTCAAATCATTTTCAATTTTTTGAATTCTATTGTCCAATTTATCTTGAATTTCTTCCATTTTAGACTCTAGTACATTAGTATTTGTGTCCAACTGCATCATAAATCCTGTAAAACCATTAACCACTTTTGAGAGTTTTTTTCTCCAAAAAATCAAACTTAGATTTCACCAATTCTTTAATTTCCTGCTTAAATTTTTCAAATTGCTGATTCACAATCTCCTCCCTTCTTTCAATCTCCTCTATAAAAAATTCTATTATATTAAAATCAGGTTTCTGAGACTGAAGAATTAAGACTTGTTCCTTTAAGTTGTTGGTGGGGGGATCCCCCCCCTTCTTGTTTATCTGACTTTATGAGTCTCAGTGCCATGTTTCCGCCCAGGCAGGCTTTGTTAAAAAAAAGCAAGAAAAAAAAAAAAGGACTTCTTTCCAATCAACAACAATATCAGGTCTCCAAGGGAAAAAAAAAAGAGAGAAAGACACAGGAGCGAAGTTTTGTCTACAAATGTAGCCAGTGGTATTTATTCCGCTACATTGTAGTAATAGAAAACGGAAGCCTCTCCTCCAGCCAACGCCATTTTAAAAGGCTTTTTTTTTTCCTCCTTCCTCTCCTCCTCTCTCTTAAGTAATTTCTTTTTTAAAAAATCAGTAAAATACTTGCGGTTCAATATTACAGGTCCAGCTCACATTTTCTTTGAGTAGTCTGTTAAATTTGCAGGCTTGCTTTTGACGCCTGGCTCTGCATCAGCAGAGGTCTCCCAAAGCCTGGAGCGGCGGCTGGGGATACGGGGCATCTCATCCGCTCCGTCCCAAAAGTAAAAAAAAAACTTTTGGGACTCCGCAGAGTTCTACCCACCCCTGCTGGCTCTATCTCCGTTTCCTCATGGAAACGGAGTTTTTTCGAGCCGCCGTTCCGTTGTGAAGGCGGCTCTGACAGGCAGTAGAAGCTGACGATCCCAAAGGAACGTCTGGCAGCAACAAACAGCAAACCGGAAGAGCCGCCAGGTCGCTTGTTAATAAGGCCCCCCTCTTATTTTGGAGGGGGTGTGTGGACCTGGCAGGTATTACAGAGACCTGGTTGGGCCAAGGGGGGGGTCCCCCTCGTTGAAATGTGCCCACCAGGTTTCCATGTATTTCATCAGCCAAGGGCCCAGGGGAGGGGTGGGGGAGTGGCGGTGATTATTAGGGAAAGTCTTTGTCTGAGGGGGACTACTGTTCCTCAGATAGCCAGATGTGAGTCCCTTTTTGTGAAGTGGGGCCATGGGGTACAGATGGGTTTGCTGATTACGTACCTGGCTCCCTGCCACGTGGCAACGACCCTGCCCGAGCTACTCGATATCATTGCCGGGGTGGCGGTTGATACCCCCAGACTTATTGTCATGGGGGATTTCAACCTTCCGTCTGCAGGTGAGGCGTCAGAGGTGGCCCGGGAGTTCATGGCTTCCATGACGGCCATGGACCTGACCCAGTTAGTTCAAGGCCCAACTCACATAGGGGGACACACTCTGGATCTGATTTTTGTCTCTGGTCAGTGGTTGAATGATCTTGGTAGAGGGGACCTAGACATCAAACCCTTGTCATGGACAGATCATTCGCTCCTTCACTTGGACTTTCCTACCGCTTCCCCCCACCACAGGGAGACGGAACCGACCAGATGGTTCCGTCCCAGGCGCCTGATGGACCCCGAAAGGTTCTTGACGGAGCTTGGGCCATTTCCTGAGACTCTGGCACACGACTCGACTGAAGAGCTGGTGGCCACCTGGGAGAGTGCGGCCGCCGGAGCTTTGGACCGCGTCGTGCCTTTGCGGCCTCTGACCTGATGCCGATCTCAATTGGCTCCTTGGTTCTCTGAGGAGCTGAGAGAGATGAAACGTCGGAAAAGATGCCTAGAGAGCATTTGGAGGACTAGTCAATCCGATTCCGACCGGACACAGATGAGGTCTTATATCAAGACCTACCTAGTGGCGATAAAAGCGGCAAAATCTAACCATTTTTCCGCTCTTATCGCATCTGCAGAGAACCGCCCAGCCGCCCTGTTTAGGGTGACCCACTCCCTTCTTCGGGGGGAGTGCTGGAAGATCCCTTGCAGGGTCGTGCTGAGGATTTTGTGCAATTCCTGCATGATAAAGTCGCTCGGATTCGGGAGGGCTTGGACTCCGATTGGATGTGTCCAGGGGAGGAGATGAGGGCAGGTCTTAAGAATATTATCTGGGAGGAGATTGATCCTGTGGCTCCCGAGGATGTGGACAGGGTTCTGGGTAAGATTAGTGCCGTCACGTGTTTATTGGACCCGTGTCCCTCCTGGTTGGTACTGGCCTCCCGGGAGGTTACACGAGGCTGGCTCCAGGGAATTATAAGTGCTTCTCTGAGTGAGGGCGCCTTTCCTGCCGCCTTGAAAGAGGCCCCTTAGTGAGGCCCCTCCTCAAGAAGCCTTCCCTGGACCCGGCTGAATTAGCTAACTACCGTCCAGTCTCCAACCTTCGTTTTGTGGTGAAGGTTATTGAGAGCGTGGTGGCATGACAGCTTCCCCGGCACCTGGATGAAGCTATCCATCTGGACCCGTGCCAGTCGGGCTTCAGGCAGGGGTACAGCACTGAAACGGCATTGGTCGCGTTGGTGGATGATCTCTGGAGGGCTCGGGACAGGGGCTGCTCCTCTGTCCTAGTCCTATTAGATCTCTCAGCGGCTTTTGATACCATCGACCATGGTATCATGCTGCAGCGGTTGAGAGGGTTAGGAATAGAGGGCACCGTTCTGCGGTGGTTCTCCTCCTTCCTCTCCGACCGCTCGCAGTTCGTGTTGACAGGGGGGCAGAGGTTGACCTCGAGGCACCTCGCATGGGGAGTGCCACAAGGGTCGGTCCTCTCGCCCCTTCTGTTCAACATTTATGTGAAGCCGCTGGGCAAGATCATCCGTGGTTTTGGGGTGAAGTGTCATCTGTACGCTGATGATACTCAGCTGTACATCTCCACCCCTGACCACCCCAACGATGCCCTTGAAGTGATGTCTCGCTGCCTGGAGGCCGTGCGGGTCTGGATGGGGAGGAACAGGCTCAGACTCAACCCTTCAAAGACTGAGTGGCTGTGGCTTCCAGCGTCCCGATATAGTCAGTAGGTTCCATCGCTGACTATTGGGGGTGAATCCTTGCCCCCCACGGAGAGGGCTCGCAATCTGGGCGTCCTCCTGGACGCACGGCTGTCTTTAGAAGAGCATATGACGGCCATGGCCAGGGGGGCCTTTTATCAGGTTCGCCTGATTCGCCAGTTGCAGCCTTTTCTGGACCAGGACGCCCTGTGTACGGTCACTCACGCCCTTGTTACTTCCCGGTTGGACTATTGTAATGCTCTCTACATGGGGCTCCCCTTGAAGAGCACTTGGAGGCTCCAGCTGGTCCAGAATGCGGCCGCGCGGGTGGTTATGGGCGCAACCTGTTGCGCCCACATGACACCCCTCCTGCGTGAGCTGCACTGGTTCCCAGTGGTCTTCTGGGTGCCATTCAAAGTGCTGGTTACCACCTTTAAAGTGCTCCATGGCACAGGACCCGGGTACCTTCGAGACCGACTTCTGCCATCAATAGCCTCCCACCGGCCAGTTCGCTCCCACAGAGAGGGCCTCCTCAGGGTGCCATCGGCCAAGTTATGTCGGCTGGCGACACCCAGGGGGAGGGCCTTCTCTGTGGGTGTCCCAGCCCTGTGGAATGAACTGCCCCCGGAAATACGTAAGATCTCCGACCTCCGGGTATTTTGTTGCACACTCAAGACCCTGTTGTTCCGCCAGGCTGGGCTATCAACATAACATTTTTAAATTGGGTTTTAAATTTCTGGGGTTTTAAAAATTTAGCCGAATTTATTTAATAATTTTAAACTATTTTAACTGATGTTGTTTTGTGTTTTTAATAGGCAGTACACCGCCCTGAGTCCTTCGGGAGAAGGGTGGTATAGAAATAAAATTATTATTATTATTATTATTATTATTATTATTATTATTATTATTATAAAAGAAAGTGCGAACAAACTTCAGTTTAGTGGAAATAGTAGTCAAAGAAATTCATGGATCTGTAAACTGCACTTTTCACTTACAGAAAAAACTTACCTCCAGATTTTATGCATTTTTAATTTGTTCACCTCTACCTTCAGCTGTACCAAGAAGTGAGAGCGGAGTTTCTGTTCTACTTGTTTTGTGTGCTAGCCCAAAATATGATATGCAGAAGACCGCAAATGCAAAAAGCAATGAGGCATCACAGGGATTGATGTTCCATTTTTCACTCTGAAGGCTACCTTACTTCCTTTATGACTAGGGCAATAAGCATTTATCTGAGCAAGATACTAGATCAACTTTTAGTATTCTACTACACTGACAATATAAAGAATAGAACTAGAATCCATTTATGGACAAAACCTAAATATATTTTATGATGTAGATTATAGCCAAGATGCATTCAAAATACATCCCTCCTGTTTCTCAACATAGATCTGTGGGTGTTGATAAAAATAGCAGACAGATGAATAAACTTGAGATCAGAAAGTCATTTCCATTCTAGACGGACAAAATCCAACATTCTGTTGACTGTTAAGAAGCTCCAGAGTGAAATATGTATTCCACTGTAAATTGCTAACTATTTTATAATGAAATATACAAATGTAACAAATAAGTAAGTTAATACTACACTAATACTGCTATAATAATGAGAATGAGAAAAATAAAGTAAAACTTACGATGAACCTGAATAAATATGACTGCTTCATCTTGACCTGCAGCATTCTTGGCCACCACAGAGACATGATAAACTCCAGGATTTTCATAATGGTGTTGAAAAGTTTCACCTATCAGTGTCAGGTTCATATAATTTGCCTTAATGCCATCTCCAAAGTTCACTTGGTATTTTGTGTTTAAAGTATCACCCTATGGAAACCAAGAATGAGGAGAAAAAACAGGCCCATCACAAAAATGGAAGAGGGGAGCAATCTAAACTATGTATCAAGCTATGTATCAATACTGGCAGCTCTGAAGCTAAGTGTTAAAAATCCACTGAACTGATTGCTGTCTCTGGTACATCATAAACAGACTTTCTCAAAGTTCTATTAAAAGTATTTTAAAATTCATGGTATCTCAGCTGGAACTGAATCATTTAAAATAGGGAGGGTGAGCGTAGAAAAAGAAAAGTAACATAGACTGGTTGTCTAAACGAAATTTTTATTTGTGATGTTGTTCTTGACTTTGTGTGTGTGTGTGTGTGTGTGTGTGTGTATTTTTGTGTGTGTGTGTGTGTGTGTGTGTGTGTGTGTGTGTGTGTGTGTGTATATTACAAACTATTCTAAAAATACGAGTTCCAGGTATATTAGTAAAAAAAGAAGCAGACATACTGCGAACTCCGGAATTTAAGATTTTAAAATTTTAAAAGAATTAAAATTTTATTTTACTAAGCTTTTCTCAGCCATCTGCTGACATCATCAGAGTATTAAACTAGCATTACAGAGATTCTGCCTTTATATGCCATTAATCAATTTAGCCCTTGTGTGTGTTATAGGCCCTTCCAGCCGTCTCCCACTTGTAATCAGCTGTGTTATTTTTGTTGTCGTCATGCTGGATGTTGGAGGTTTGATTCCTGCTGTTTTCTCCTTCCTAGCTTGCTTATCAGTGGGGGATGATGTTAACCTGTCAGCTTTGCAATTTGCTGCCTTGTCTGTGACCTATATATATATCTCCATGCTTAGACCATTTAAATTCAATAATAAACTCTTAATTGATAGTATTAAAGATAATAACATAAGCATCCAAATCAGCTTCTTGCATGCTTAGTTTGCATCAGGCTGTAGCCATTCTTTCTGGTTCAATATGTGCCCCATCAAACACTATCAGGTTCCCTTCTTACCAAGCTTGGCAGTGATTTTGGCATTCACTAAGGAAGAAATTGGCTTTAAAACCTATATCAACTCAATCTGCTGACTGAGACTGATTTGATTGCACACACTTTTGCAAAAGTTTTTGGCCAGAGCATGTGTTACACAGAGTGCCAAATGTTGAACAATTTTCAGGATCCAATCAGAGTTGGTCACTGCAACCAGAGGTTTAGTCTTCCAAGCTTTAGGACTTGTGCTGGAGGCCATCCTCAGGGAACTTCTCTCTGGCAAAGTGTGTGCTTTGGGCTATTCTGTATGTGGTATTTATATGGTGTCTCTTTTGTGCAGGTTTTTAATTGTTGATTGGGCTGTTGATGGCTGGCTATTAAGTCTTTGGCTGTTGTTTCCCTGTGCTGCCAAGTCCTCACCTCCTAATTACCTGATAAGCTGGTGGCAAATCAGCACTCCCATTGACTGACAGAGAGACCTGTTTCTCAGGCTTCAATCAGTTTCCAGGCTGTTTTTGTGCTTGCTCATCTAACAAACTGAGTAGCTGCAAAATTGAATGTATGTCCTTGTTGATTGCAATGTGAGGTTACCAGTGAGTTTGGGTCTCCTTATCTGACTGCTCACTTGTGTTCTTGTAATCTGGTGGTTAGCTTTCTCCATGTCTGTCCTACATAATCACAGGAGCAATCCATGCAGGGGTTCCAGTAAAATCCATTAGAAGTATCTCCCACCTCTAAGCGATCTTTACAATGCATAATGTGTCCTCGTATGGTAGCCTCTGGGCAACGTATGATGCCCGCTTGCAGAACTTGGAAGCTGTGTTCTACTGCTTCCAAAATGTTTTTGATGTATGGCACAGTATGCCATGTGGTTGGTCCTGAATTTTGTTGCTTCCTTTCTCACCCTATCATGTTGTGCAGGATCTTGTAACAAATGATTGTTACAAGATACACATTCTGCCTGAATTGTTCATGTAGGTATCTGCTCTTCAGTTGTTTAGCTTGCTACGTACTATAGTGAATTCTCATCCTGCCATATAGTTGAATTGAACAATTTCTTTGGGCATGAGAATGTATGTAAACCTATTACCAGTCACTTCTACTAGAATCTTACTATCCGTTCATTTAGTCAAAGATTTGCAGATCTGCTTTTGAAGGCATCCCAAATTTTCATGAGATATCAAAGCAACTTCTTCTCTATAAAATATCTACTATTTTATTTAAGATGAAGTAACACTATCAACAATCTCTACATGTGCATACACTGCACACAATCCTGTCCTTTATAAACAATACCAAATTCACCATAACAACTCATCAGTGTCTAATACTCCTTAAATTCTGGGAAAAACTTGGGCCTGGTGGCTCAGCAGACTGATAGCATTGTGATTAACACCAGCTGTCTGCAATTACTGTTAGTTTGAATCTCACCAGACTCAAGGTTGACTCAGCCTTCCATCCTTTCTAAAGTAGGTAAATTGAGGACCCAGTTTGTGGGGGCAATAAGCTGACTTTGTATAAATATACAAAAGTATGAAGGCTATTGCTTAACGCATTGTAAGCCGCCCTGAGTCTCTGGAGAAGGGCGGCATATAAATCAAATTTTAAAAAAACAAAACAAAAAAAAAACATATGTATCTCACAAACAATGCTTTTCCTAGCAACAAAATATGTGGCAAACATGTTTATTATTATTTGCAGTTTTCGCTTAATTGCCTCTGTGTAAGCTGAAACTTACTGTAAAACTCCCATGCCTCTTCACCAGCAAAACAGAAACAAAAGGACACTGAAGACATTCTGTTTTATACACAAGTAAGATATACTCCTGCTTTCTGGGAAAAGGAAGTGATTAAAATCCTCTTCACTAATAATTAATTTAAATTTAGGCTCTAACTGTTCTGCGGTTTAGCCATTTCCTGCTAGAGGAAGTTTCTTGATTACTGACACTACCTCCAGTTATTTCTCAATTAGTTCATTCCTAGGAAAGGAAGAAAGCCCTCAGTGACTCACATACTACCTCCTGCTGCCAAGCCAACCACTTTATCTTCATACTAATATACACCACTGTCATGCTAACTTGCCAGATAGTAACAGACTATAAATATAGCTCCCATCTCCCTTTTTTTGTATCAATGCGGGGGGGAAAAGAGGTGTCTCCTATAGGAACATTGGGGAAAAAATATGAAGTAAGAGAAGGAGGCTACTAAAGTTTTTACCTTCAAATAAAGAGAATGATAAGTCAGCAGAGAAAGGAAAACAAAATACATTGCAGGACAAATTCTAGTGCAACCCTATTTTCAGGTTTAAAGGACAATTACATTTTTTCTGATTTCCATAGGTGAGAAATTCCAGTAATACCTGATTTTGTTTGACAATAAAGGTGACATATTCTCCTGGCTTAATGGCTAGGTTTTCTCCTTTAATGCTGATCTGCAATCCTTTGGGAGCAATTAGTGGACACACATGCTGAGAAGAATTTTTCTGTAAATCCACACCTCCTTTACATATATTAGATATAACTTTACGGTATCTGTAGGAAGAAGTAAATGGAGGGAGGGACAGAACTGATCAACAGATACAGAAAAGGTTATACTCATACCCTAGAGCAAAGTCTTAATTTGGATTCAACCCTATATGTTCACACAACATACTTAGGACAAAAGTAGAAGCAGCAAGCTGTCAGTATACATACAGCTCCTAGCTGCAAGGATGCAAGCTATAACATGCTGGATTGCAATCTCTACACTAGAGATTCTAGTTTCCATAAAAATAACATTAAAATGCTTCAGCTAAAATTGGATTTTGATGGGCTTGGTAGCAATGTGGCCAAAATATGGTAAATATTTGATACTGTTTTTAATATTGACAGGAAAGGCTGAATGTTGTATGGGAGTAAGGCTGATCAACTAGTCTATACCTTATTTACATTATTAAGAAGCACTATGAGAAAGCCTTGATTTAACCAAAGTCACAATGCATAGTGTCACCTATGTTGTTGTGTGGTTTGCATATGAAAGTTGAAATCCATAGGCTGGTGATAGTGATATGTTTTGCTCCAGTAATAGTGATAATGAAAGGATCAGAGATAGTTTTGAGAAAAATGTGCAAAATTTCAGATGAATGCAATCCAGAGAAAAATTACTTCAGTAGACTACATAAATAAGTAACAATTATATAATTGATGAGAAGCTAAAAAGAGAGAGAGGTGAGAACTTGAAAGAACAGCAGCCAAGTATAAAGCAATATATGGACATATTGGAAACAAGGATAGAAAGCATAGGGAGATACATGTGAATACTGTTGGTATGTGCTATATTTCCTTTCCTTTTTATTTTCTCATAATGTAGATAAAAGAAATAATGTGAATAAAATAGGAATCATACAGAGTCAGATATATGGGCTCTGGGGGACCCTCTCTATTCACATCATTATAAGGGGAAGACGTGCTTAGATACATGAACTCTGAGAGGACCTTTCTATTCACATTATTATAAGAGAGGAAAGTGCTTGTTGGAAATTACATTAACAAACAGTTAAACCTCATTAAGTGGTAATATATCTTCTGAGACCTAGATGTCACGGAAGGACAGCCATATGGAAAACCTCTGAGTGACCTCACTATGAATGACACAAAGACATATATGTTACAAAAAGTTACTTAATCCAATAAACTTACCCAAGGACAGCAGTAACTCTCCCATTAACAACTACAAGCACTTAAGAAAAGTTGTGTGGCTAAGATAATTTTATAAACTAAAATTAATGGTTTAAGTAATTAGATGAACATATTATCCAATGTATGTAACATATAGGGAAAATCGGATGTATGATCTCATGTTGACCATATATGGAAAATGTATGATCTCACTGAATCCTTTGTCTTAGAAATGTATAAAACCAGTTGTATCAGAGTTCTTTCTTTGTTCAAAGCTTCAGGTACAAAACTTGCTCTGAACCTTGCGCAATGTAAGCTGGTGACCCCCAGGGTCACAGCTTTCTCTGTGGGGGCACCTACCCTCTGGAATCAGTTGCCCCCAGAGATAAGGAGAATCCAAGACCTCAGTGCCTTCCGCCGTGCCCTTAAAACCCACTTTTTCCAGCAAGCCGGGCTGGCTTAAGAAGAAATTTTTAAATTTTTTAAATGTTTTAATTGGTTTGTGATTTTTAAATTTTTGGGCCAAATTTATATATATTTTAATTGTTCTTAATATTTGTAGTTTATGTTCTTAATTCTGGCTGTGCACCGCCCTGAGTCCTTAGGGAGAAGGGCAGTATATAAATTGAAAAATAAATAAACAAACAAACAAATAAATAAATAAATAAATAAATAAATAAATAAATAAATAAATAAATAAAAAAAACTGTCTCTGGCTGACCCAGGAATGTTGTTTGGTCTCATCATTCCACAACACTCATGCCTTTCATTTCTTTAGCTTGCTATTTCGCACTCCTTTTTTTACCCCAGAAGAAATGATAGGATAAACATATAAAGTTACATATTTCTGTGTACCTGTAAGATTACCTACAGAAGCAGGATAGGGGCAATTTTAAAAAGAAAACAGTACCAGGGCAATTGTAAGGAATTCTCAACCAACCATATTTTTGTGTATAATTATTTAATCATAATAAGTTGGTATACTGCCCAGTGATTCCTTCAAAGATTAAAAAAAATGGAGGTGTATAATAATTAAAAATACAAGACCCCGTGAAGACTTGGCACGGTCCGAACTTGTTATTCAAACTGCCCAAAAGGCCGGCTACAATTCCAAAGTGGATTGACTGGATAGTGAAGAAAGAGGCACCCATGTACTAGAGCCTTGCCAATGTAGAAAGCAGATAGAAACCCTACATTTCTCAAAATAGCAATCCTTGACTTACTTAATATGATTGTGTGCTGCCAAATACACCAGAAAGGAAAAGTAACTGCATCCCTGCTGATAATGTTAGCTATCTTTCAGAAAAGCAGCTTCAGTGACACCAACTTGGTGGCTAACAGAACTCTCCAGAGGTAATGTATCTCTAAATATTAAGGAGCATTCATCAAGGCAAAATAGTATGCAGAAACTTTCCACATCAATTTTTGTTCAAAACCCAAAATATTTTATTAGAAATAAATAATAGTTTTTATCTCTATCACATTAGCAATTTGTAAAGGAGACTGATACACGGCAGAAAGGAAAATAAGAGAGCTATTTCCCAAACAAAATATTCACTTACTTACCCTGTGCTACTTTTATAGGACTGCCCTGTGATACAGTCTTCAGGAGGGGCTTTAGGGTTAAACCAAAAGTCAGCAAAGCACATCCCAGGCTCTGATTTTGACAGTGAAAGTTCAAATCCATAATCGCTAAAGAATAATAATAACAAATAGATTTTTATTGCACATATAACTGTATGAATTACAGCTGAAACAGTTTGTATCCTTTTGGGTTGGCATATTTTACCCAGATCTTTTGGGTTCCATAGCTTTTGTCATATTGGCCAAGAAACTGACTTTCTAGGAGTGTATTTATAGTTTTGACAGCTGAGTTCAGCAGGTGCTCATTAGCACTCTAATTAGCAGCAACAAGTCCCCATTACAAAAACCAGGTTTATTCTCTTCGCATGAAAAATGAGGAATAAGTGTACAATCCTTTAGTCAATTTTATTTACAAAGGAACACAATCTTTCTGGGAGGCTAGAACATTCCACAAGATTGGAGAGCATATCGGCAGTTGGAAGGAAAATAGGTCTTAATTTCCACCCTGCCTTCTTTTGTTATGGACTGCTGTGATAACCAGCTTAGATTCAAAGGAAGAAAAGAATGTCTAGCACAGACAGAAAATCCCTCTTGAAACAAAGTTCCTCAGGCTGTCTCCAAAGAGCAGACTCAAGGGGAGCAGATGGTTCTGGCAACCAGCCTTGGTGGCCACCTGTAATAAATCTGCTACCAGCAGCTGTGCTGGCAGACACATAGTTCCTTCATCGTTCACAAGTCTATTTCAGAGAAGGCAGAATCTTATTATAAAGGCACTGACATGATTCAAGTTATATGGATCGTTTTCTCTAGATATTGCCCATCTTTAAAACTGAATATATGTTTAACTGAATAGGACTTTTTCAGTTGTATTAAATCTAATAAAAGAATGCTGTATTGCTGAAATAGAAGAGAAAATACCATATGCATTCAGTATACTCTGCCAAGAGTTGTTTTGATACAAATGGGTGGCAAATAAATTTAATAAACAAACAAACTCCAAGATAATTCTATCTGTATTTCTTAAAACTTCATCTCCAAGCACAATTCAAAATGACAGATCTATACTTTGCAAATAGAGACACACAAAGTGCAATTCCTGGGTAATCCACTTTCTACTGTTTTAACCTTTAAAACCTAAACATTTAGCTGATATAATAGCTTTGGGGTAGATAATCCCATCTATTCATGCAGATTGATATCTCCAAATGTGGTTTCTGGTTTTGCCACCTTTAAGAAGTAAGGAGGACAAGTCCCCAAGTCATCATTTTCAATAATGACTTCACAATAATTTCCATCTGAAAAATATTCCCCTGGCTCAACCTGGTTATTTATTGGTGGAACAAATTAGTGTTTATTGATAAAAAATTTCATTGTTATTCTACTGAAGGTTTTTTTTTTGCATTCTTTATTATCTATTTGTGAACTGTCATACCGATTGTTTTGGTACTGTCATAAAATAAACGAAATGTTGGCTATATTGTCCCTTTGTTTTTTGTGAAGATAACTGTTCTCTTCCAAACAAATAAAAACCATAATTTCTGTTAATAAAGGTAGTTTTGACTTACTTAGCAACTGTTCGAAGTTGCAACAGACCTTCCCCAAAGGGACTTGCAACCCAGATTTGAAGTTCTGATGTCAACTCTCCCCTGCAGTCATGTGACTGCATTCTGGGCACTCAGCAACCGGCCTACATTTACAGCTGTTTGCTGTACCCAGTGGCCATGATATACGATGCTTTTGGCAGAAACTGGCATCTTCTTCTGGTTTCTTGCAAAACCATGCCTATACTGAACAAGGGATTTGCTTAATGACTGCCATAATAAAGATAATAAAAATGGGCAAATTGTTTGTGACCCACTTTATGACCATCACGATTTATGACCGTAATTGTCAGGCTCAATTATAGTCATAAATCAAGGAGTACCTGTATGGATTTTTCAATATGTCTATACATAACATTAACAACTCAGCCACTTGAGGAGACAGGAAGAGAGAAAAACTTACCATAAGAAATCAGAAGAACTACATTCACAAACTTTGGAAGAAAGTGCTGACATAAAGTTTTTTCCTTTAATACACCATGATGAATTCTTCCTCCTTCGAAAGGTTCTCTGCTGGCCCATTATGCAACGGTCACCCTGAATATTAAAGGTTAATTGTCATAGCTGCTAGATAAAGTTATTTATTTATTTGTAACCCAATTCTTGGACTAATTTTCAGTATCCGGTAAGAATTGTGTCAGAGTATATTCATCAACTGTAATAGGACATGGTAACAAAGTCAGACAATGTATAGACATAGCAACTAAGTCAGCTGATGAGGGCTGTTTGGGAGCTGACTGGAGCCAGGACGTGTCTTAGTCTGCAGCTTCTGAGTCTGTGCAGAGAAACTGAAACTAGTCTGCTCTGCTGAAATGAAACTAACTGTTCTCTCCCACCTTGTGTTTTGCTTGTGTAGCAGTTACAAGCAATCTGTTATTGGTACTGTAAATTTACTTCATGTTTTATTATGTATATAAAAAAGTTAATGAATCCTGCTGCATCAGTCTGCCTGTGTGTGCTTTCTGGATTTGATTTTTGCAACAAACTCTGACAAATTGTCAACGGAATTTTAGGTATAAGAATAAGATCTAACAAGTGTTTCACATGCAGATTGCATGAACTGATCTTTTTCAACACAATTTAACTTCTTCCTTTTTTCCATTTTTTATATTGGTTATAAACACACAATGTCTATTGTGAGCAAGCTTAACAACACATCTTAATATTTAGTATAGAAAATATAGCAATGTTTATAGGCACATGTGTGTGAAGGAAAGGAGAAACAAATTAAATGCTAAAACAAAATGACTGATCTCATGCAACATAAGACAAAAAGTTCAATTCTTGGGCTGTACAACTTCCAGAGAGAAACATTCTTGTCTAAATCTGCACAGAGCTATTTCCAGTGCAGCAATACTAAGGTACACTTGATACAGGGCATCTTTCCTCATTTTCAATTAATTTGATTGTACTAAGCAAGTTGAAATGTAAGTATGCCTTTTGCTCAAATCATACCTCTATTTCTTTGCCTGCTATGGCAAAAAGAAATTGTCCCTAAATTTTGTATCTTAAAAATATCTTGATCCATTGATCTTAACTGGTCTAACATCAATTACAAGCAATTAAGAGATTGATTGTTGAAACCTATTCATACTCAGTCCATAATAAATACTTTATCTCCAGATCATTAAATCTTAGCCAGTCTACAAGATGTTTAATGTGTATCATGTTTATTGCATTTAATAAAATACCAATGCATACTTACTCAGCCAAAAGTTGAATCAAGGAGGACATACTGCTGTTTTTGTAAATATCTGAGCTAGAAGACAGCCTTTGTTGTAGAATATAAGGAGCAATATACTAGTCTGAAATATAGTTTTTTGCATACTTTTCACACTATTTACTTTGAGTTTAGCAAATCATACCTCTAAAATTTTCATTTTATGTTCACTTAATTGGAAACACTGTACTCTATATTGTATTCTGAAACATCTTTCCCCCCTGCTTTTTTGCTTTGCATCAAAATGCTATCTGATAGCTCATGCCATATTAACCTTCTTAAATAAATCTGAGCTATAAATTCAGATTGGAAGTTATGCCTTTAATATATATATAACTTTTGATTTTAATTAATCAAGAATGTTTATTTTTGATGGCTTCTATGGGTATGCATTTCCTGGAATAATCAGAACGTAGTCCTAGAAATCAAGTTGTTCTCTCACAGCAGTCTGTTTCATCTGTAATTGGTAAGCCATGGATTTAGTACAATCCTATGCCTGGCTATTTAGAAACCAAGCTACATTCAGTGGAACAAAAGTTGAGATTGTATCACGTACGTAAACTGTGTGACCTGCATACTCTCCCTTCTCTCTGTCTCTTGTTTATGATAGAATGGAACAATGCTACAAATTTCCAGATTATTCGAATAAGGAAAACTGAGGTCTGTACAAATCATATTTCATTTAGAATTTAGATATTAACTCAAAATTAAGTTTTAGGTTTTTTTGTTTTTTTGTTTTAATTTGATTTATATGCCGCCCTTCTCCGGAGACTCAGGGCGGCTTACAATGCGTTAAGCAATAGCCTTCATACTTTTGTATATTTTATACAAAGTCAGCTTATTGCCCCCACAAACTGGGTCCTCAGTTTGATGTGTTGGTTTGTTAACCAGTTCAGTTAGACAAATTATACTTCTCTTTAACTGAACCACAGCCTTAGTGCAGTTAGTACAGATAATGCTAAACATGTTTTAGTATTACAGAAACAAATGTCACTAAATATGATAGTTATTTCTTCCTATGTAGTTGCACCTGCAGATTTGTCATGTCCCATGATTCATAGTCTTCATCAGTGCATTCACGGGAAAAAGATGGACGGAAATCTATCTTCACTAGCTCCCAGTCTGATTGGTAACTGATGTGTCCAAATACCCTAAAGAGAAAAAAATCCGAATGAGTTCCCAACTAAAAGACTGGGAGTGAAACACAAGAATATAATAAGGAATACCTTCTGCTATGGTTGGCTGTGGTAAATACAGGTAGTTCTCATTACCGACTGCAGTTGGGACCAACAACTCAATCACTATTGGCTGTGATTGTAAGGTGAACCATGTTGACTTAAAATGTCAGTTATGGCTGCATCATATGTGTCATATAACTGTGACTTGTGACTTCCTACCAGTTTCCCCATTGACTTTGCTTTGTTGGAAGCCAGCTGAGATCATAAATAGCAATCATGGATGTTGCAACCATTGTAAATGTATGTTGGTTGCCAAGCGCCCAAATTGTGATCATGGGTCTACAGAAAACCGCAACTTCAGTGGTAATGTAACTTTGAATGAAAAAGCAGTCAGTAGCAATAGCAGCACTTAGACATATATACCACTTCACAGTGCTTTACAGCCCTCTTTAAATGGTTTACATATTGCCCCCAACAATCTGGGTCCTCATTTTACCAACCTTGGAAGGATGGAAGATTGAGTCAACCTTGAGCAGGTAAGACTCAAACTGCTGAAATGCTGACAGTCATCAGTCAGCAGAATTAGTCTGCAATATTACAATCTAACCACTGTGCCACCATAGCTCTTCAGTACATGAAATGTTATATTTTCAAATTATTTTCATAATGAAGCTGTTCTGTACCATACTTTAAATATTAGCAATTAACTGACCCTGCATATCTATATCTCAGTACCTAGGTATAACAGAACTAAAGAAGAGACTGTAGTAATCAACAATGGAGACTATATGGTAGTCAAGGATTTTGCTTTCTTGAACATTTATAATCACTTGACTTCACAACAGAAAGTTTGGCTTATCTGTGTTTAGCTTTGAAGTAATGTATGTTTAGTCAGACATTTATTTATCTATTATCTCTATATCTAAGGCATTCCTTTTACTCTTCTACTAAATCCTGAAGCCTCCACATTATCACAAAAGTATTTCCAATATGTACTCTCCCATTTAATTATCATCCATTAAATTGCTTTCATTTCATTTAAAGATGTCCAGCAAAAAATGAAGACCTTGGATGTGTTCCTAAACTAATTACTTGGGTAATTGTTTCATTACATTAAGTTAAACACTTTTAATCGTTGACATTTAAACTTTTTCCATGTAGTTGGTGGGCTGATACAATAAAAGATACTTACGTCATGACTAAAGTCTCATCCCCAGGTTCGCTAAGTAGGCCATCCACATACACAGAAATACTTGTAAAATTATGGGTGCTCCAAGTTTGACCTTCATCTACACTGAATCTGTAATGGAAGTAGTAAAATAATCAATACCATTTCTTTAAATAATTTAATAGGATTCACAAAGTCCAAAGTAGTTAAACAGCAGATATTTTAAAGATTACCATTACAGGTAATCTTCGACTTATGACCAGTGACCCTTCAAAATTCGAATCCCTAGTATAGGTCTCCTGCATGAGCAGGGGGTTGGACTAGATGAGCTCCAAGGTCCTTTCCAACTCTGTTATTGTTATCTGTTCTGCTGATGCTGAATGAATGGTGGTTAGGACCAGTCTTTGAAGTTCTGGTATTCCAGCAATTCTGCAATTGTGTGATTGCAATCTAGGAGTTTGACAACCTGTTCACACTTACAAGCACCCCACAATCATATGAATACTATTTGTAACCTTCACTGTTGCTGGGATATCTCTCCCACACTTGCACCCTCCCCCAGATCATCTGCACTTCTGCCACACTGGCCACTTGTGCATCCCAGTACACTCTCTCCAACCCCCTCTGTGCCTCCCTTGCAATTCCTGACCTACATGAACTCTCTCCAACCCACATAGTGCCTCTTGTATATCCCTCCGCAAACTCTCACCCTTGCGCACCCTCCCTGACCCTGGTGGCACCTCTCTTGCACCCTCCCAGATCCTCTCTCCCATCCTTGAGCATTTCCTCACAGACTATGCCTCTCACACACCTCCTCGACTCTCATGCCCTAAACCCCCCCTTCATTCTCTCCTCTACCCAGCAGCCATTTACCTGTCTGCAGGTGTGGAACTTTTGACTTCCTGACAGCTTCTCCAAATACTTGGTTATGAGAAGCTGAGAGGAAGTTGCCTTGATTAACAATTATGAGTTTGAGTTAATTATGGCAACCAGGATTACAGGGATTGCGGTCACTAAACAACACACTCACACTTTATGACCACATTGTTTAGCGATTGAAATTCCAATCCCAATTATCAGTAAAGGCTACATGTATACATATTCGAATTCTTTCCTTTGTAAAAAAAATTCTGCTACTAAAGTAGTAGTAAAAAGAGATTATCTCAAAATCTGAAACAGATACAGGTAGCCCTCGACTTATACTATCCGTTTAGTGTCCATTCAGCACGCAAAGCACGTGCATGAATAGAACCGTTGGTAACACCGGTTGGAACCCACCACTGGGTTGGAGGCTAAAACATATGAAGAATAGTTGCAGAAATTGGGTATGTTTAGTCTAATGAAAAGAAGGTTTAGTGGCAGTGGTGGGATTCAACCAGTTCGCACCACTTCGGGAGAACCAGTTGTCAACTTTCTGAGCAGTTTGGCAAACTGCTTGTTGGAAGAAATCATTAGGGCAGAGAACAGGTTGTTAAATTACTTGAATCCCACCACTTATTAGGGGTGACATGATAGCAGTGTTCCAATATTTGAGGGGCTGCCACAAAGAAGAGGGGTCAACCTATTTTTCAAAGAACCTGAAGATAGGACAAGAAGCAATGGATGGAAACTAATCAAGGAAAGAAGCAATCTAGAACTAAGGAGAAACTTCCTGACAGTGAGAACAATTAATCACTGGAAGAGGTTGCCTCAAGAAATTGAGGGTGCTCCATCAATGGAGATATTTAAAAAGAGACTGGACAGCCATTTGTCTGAAATGGTATAGGGTCTCCTGTTTGGGTGGGGGGCTGGACTGGAGGACCTTCAGCCTCCCTTCCAACTCTTCTATTCTGTTCTGTTTTTGTTATTCTTTCTATGATCAAGTGTATCTATCGCATCAAGCCCAATGAAAGTCTGGAGTGGTATAGGATCTGCCACGGGCAGAGGGTTGAACTAAAATACCTCCAAGGTCTCTTCTAACCTTATTGTTCTATTTTCTATGTTCTAAATAGCTATTTATAGATGCCTGAGGGAGGTGGGAGAGAATGACCTCCTTACCTATGTTTTGTTTCCTGATTTCCATGGATAAGTGTATTTATTACATATATGAATATAACTAGCAAACATGGAAGTCCCAACGGTGCTTTTTCAAAAGGCAACTGAACTTTCTGGTTTTTCTTTGAAGACGTTTTGCTTCTCATCCAAGAAGCTTCTTCAGCTCTTGCCTCTTGAAAAAGCATCTTTGGGACAACCATGACCTGGATGACTGATAATCTCCATAGACTTTTAGCAAACATGGAGCAAATATTAAATTACTAAACAACTCTCTTAGAGAAAAAAAAAACCCACTTCAGTTAGAATATTTTTAGTACTGAAAATACAGTAGACTAATGAAAGTTTGCTGTAGAATTACTTGAGTATTTTCAGAGGAATAGATGTATCTTTGATGGCCACAATCACACCACCATGATCCAAATATAAGATATGATGCTCCTCTTCAAAAACCTAACGGCCAGGAAAGGAAAAATAACAAAGTAATTAAGTTTTCAAGGAAACTGTATAAGCATATTGGATCAAAAATAGACTAATATTGGAAGAGGGGAAAGGGGATTTATTGTACTGGGCGGAGGGTGTCACACACTGAAATCTGGGAAAGACTGGAGTGACAACAGAATGAGGAAAATGAGGGGGGGAATAACAATGGAGATTAGGAAACAATGAAAATTTCATTAAAATTTTAACATCAGATACAGGTAGTCCTCAACTTACAACAGTTCACTTAGTGACCATTTGAAGTTACAAGAGCCTTGGTGGCACAGTGGTTAGAGTGCAGTACTGCAGGCTACTCTGCTGAGTGCCAGCTGACTGCAATTTGGCAGTTCAAATCCTACCAGGCTCAAGGTTGACTCAGTCTTCCATCCTTCCGAGGTGGGTAAAATGAGGACCCAGATTGTTGGGGGCAATAGGCTGACTCTGTAAACCACTTAGAGAGGGCTGTAAAGCACTGTAAAGCAGTATATAAGTCTAAGTGCTATTGCTACAACGGCACGGAAAAAAGTGACTTACAACCATTTTTAACACTTATGACTATTGCAACATCCCCATGGTCACGTGATTTATATTCTGATGTTTGACAACTGACAACATTTATGACAGTTGCAATGTCAGGGGGTCATGTGATCCCCTTTTGCAACCTTCTGACAAGCAAAGTCAATTGGGAAGCAAGATTCATTTAACAACCATGTTACTAATTTAACAACAGTGTTTCAGTTAACAAATGTGACAAGAAAAGCTGTAAAATTTCTCGTTTAGTAACATAAATTTTGGGCTCAATTGTGATCACAAGTCGAGGGCTACCTGTATTTTGGGTTATGAAAATAGTAAAAGACACAGCACAGATGATGGGAAAGTATGTAAAGGTGAAAGATAATATGACATAAGTATCCCAAGTGATAATGTGAGAATACATTCATCTAAAATATCATTCAAGAAAGAAATAAGTTATACCATAATTAAAAAATAAAGGCTCGCTGTGCTTTCCCAAGGCTATAGTCCTCCACATATTTATTAAATGCAAAAGGAATTAATTTTGTGTAAATATGCTTAGACCTAGACTGCAATTAACTAAATGTTCATAAAGTGATTATGTCATCAAGCCTTCAAGAAAAAAATCCCAGTACTAATAAAATATATTTTCCTTAATCTAATCTAGTTCTTGATGTATACAAAAACATATTCTACTGGGCACAGCATTGTGGCAAGATGATTGCTAATAAACAATAACTCACTCATTCTTTCTGTTTGTAGAGTTGATTTAGATCATCATTAAAGCCCCATCTATTGATAATGAATAGCTTGGTCATATTAGAATTCACACATGAGGCCTTTCATTCAGCTTGAATGAGTTATTGAAAAGCTTATTTTCTATATATTTTCTTTTCACTGAATCAGAATATAGTTATGGTTTGTGAGATTGTGTAATTTTATATTAATATTTATTTTTTATTTATTTGTATCCCACCTTTATTAATAAACAAACAATAAAATAAATAAATATAAAAAGAAGTAAAATGAACAAACCATTAGATCATTTCAATACCTGTCTCCATGTTCTACCACAGTCAGATGTTATATACATTTCTTCCTTGTATTCCACAAGCTGGGCACCCAGATTTCCTGAGAATAAAAGTATAATAATAATAGTAAAATTACTAAAGTATTTTAAATGCTTACTGCAGTTACTTCTACAAAGACTCCAATTCTCCACCCTCCCTTATGGCTGAAAAACCCCTTCTACTTGCAGGGAAAAAGAGAATCCCTAAGGCAGCTTCTATTTTAGACCTGCCATCCAGCTACTTCCAGAATTAAGGAAATTGAAGCTCCACGCACAGCTTGGAGGCTGTCAAATTGGAGAAGACTATCCTAAAGCCACAATTGGCCCAATAATAACCCCCACCAAAGAATAATGTGGGACTTGTTCTCAGCGGCACTAATGATAGATAGCCCCTAACAATAGGGTTACATATCAATGTTTCTAATTTATAGCACGGGTGTCAAACTTGATTGCGTCACATTTTTTGCCTTTGTAGAGCTACGGTGGGAGTGGCCTGTGTGTGATGCATCCAGCCCGCGGGCCACCAGTTTGACACCCCTGGTTTATAGTATTTATCCTTTATCCTTATCCCACATTTTTATCCAATAACTTAAAAGCAGGACATATAAAGATATTTTACTTTAATCTAACACACTAATACAACCACACTACATAAATTAAATTGAGTGATGCTACTTTTCCAAGACAGTATGTAAACTTCATGGCTGGTTAATGACTAACCCTAACATAACCACATTTCAAGAAGTTCCTAAGTTCTATGCTTATGTGCTCTGCCATATTATGAGTACCCAAAGAAATAGGCATCGCTAATACCTTCACTAGACTCACCATTGTGTTATAGTACATATCAGGACTTAGTCTACTGTGATTTTTTTCTGTCATCAGAATCTTCAACACCACCAAAACTATCAGAAATTACTAATTCTATTTATTCTGATATGGCTGGGATATCCTCTAAGGTACATAGATCAAAACTACCTTGCAACTTGCTTGCAAGTGCTTTGGATTCACTGCTTTACGTTCCTACTGTTTCAGCCACCTGTCACATCTTTGATGTGACACGCATTAGTTGAAAAAACTGCTTCTGTTTATTTTTCTGATCTGATTTTATTTCTCGGTATTTGAATCAATTTCTTCACTCCCCCTTCTTCTCCAGACCCAAAAGAAAAAAAAAATCCAACTGCTTTCTCATATTCTTCATAACAGCTGTTACTCTGGAATGACTAAATGCTGCTGAACTTGGAGATAAACAGCTAAAGGTCTTCTCTAGGGTCTAGGACCATGTGCCATGGCTGACCTGCCCTGCACAAAGGCACAAATGATGCACAAAGGCACAAATAGAATGAAAGTCTCTCTACCACCCTATCTGTGCAGGTTCTGATCCCCCTTTGCAGATTTATTTCAATGTTTTGTCTTTTTGACTGCAAGTCAAGGTATGCAAAGAAATCAGGCTACTAGAAAAGATGAGGAGTCATTGTTGAAGGAGAGCTATGTTAACCTACGGTGGTAAAAATAGAGATGTTTGATACCATCTTTTCTGACTAACAATTTTTATTAAAAGTCAAGGAATCCATGAGCTGCAGCTCACTTCATCAGATGAACAGCATGACTAGACTGATGTAGGATTTAAACTGTGATGAAATGGGAAAGAAAAGAGGAGAGAGAGAGAGGTTGGTTATACTGTACAGATGCAGTTTACATGTGAGACAGAGTGCAAGTTCCTCAACAATTAACAATTATAATGTGTTAAAAACCTATTGTGCTTGTCGAAATCCGAGATCGCCTGGAACATTTTGATGTGAGTTCAACTATTTCTTGCTCACTGGTTCTGTTTTCCAAAAACTTTTGAGATCTCCTGCGAGATTGAAATGCTCAGATATTACTTTGTTTTATTTGGAATCCTAATTTCAAACTTGTGACCATATATTTTTTTACACAAAGTTGTCCTGTTTGTCCTGTGAGTATCCAGAGGAACATTGCTGGCATGTATCACATTAAAACATCTGCAAAAGTGCTTCTAATTTTGTGTATGTGCTTGTTAAAGCCTATGATAACAACAATTCTGTTGTTTCTTGTTTCTTATGAGAATTTGCTTCAGGTTAGATGGCTGTCTGCATATTATTTCAGGTCTGCCACCCAGCGCTTGAGAAAGTACAGTGTTATTATCTAGTATGAATTGTAGCTTACTAATAACTTGCTAGCCCTTCATGTTATTATGTTCCCATGCAGACACTCAGACAAAACAATTTATACTTGCTTTGCTAATAAGGGGCTAAGAGTAGGGATTTAGTTTAGATAATCTTAGTTCTCACATAAAAAGGAGGGCGCAGATAGGCAGTAAAACCTTTTAAAACTCATTCAAGAGGATTCTGAGATGAATAAACTTGGAAATGGAGGTGATGACTGACGGCTTAAATGCCTAATATGATCCTAACTCTAGTGGTTGGTCAAGATATACTGTTGGTTTCATTCCAGAGAAAGAATAACTAGTGAATCTAAATTGGATTGGACAGTGAAAGTTCAGCACCATTGTAACTTTGAATAGTTACTGAACAAGTGGTCATTAAACAAGATTACCTGTAGTATGAAATATAACATAGAGAATGTTTCCGGCTATTATTGCCAATTTTGGCCACCTGTTTTTTCTTTACTCAGTTCAATTTCCATCTCAAATGACAGCCCCTCCTTATCCTCAATTTAACTCCTATGCAATTGGAATGATACTTTGTCCCTTCAGCTCTTAAATGAGAAGGGAAGTTCAAGAAGCTTCATAAAGTGTCAGGAACCCTCTGACTTTGCTAGAGACCCTTTCAGAAGGCAACGGCCTGAACATATTATGAGAAAGAGAGGGGAATACAGTATTTCAGATACCACTAATTGGCTTCCTCAAATATTTCCTTTCTATCTATTATACATAGCTCTCACTGCATTTCCCACACAGGTCAGAAATAAGATTATGGTGATAGCATCTGTTATAGCAATATCTATAGAAAAAGGTAAAGACAAAAAAAGAGTGAAAACTCTGTTGCCGGTTATTTCTCTCTGTGGATTTGATTTTGTACACAACAGAAACAAGCAGATAGGATGGAACTGAAACCAATAGCTGTTAGAGATAGGCAATTTGAGACAAAGTTGCATTATTATATATCTTTTTGACTGAAAAACATCAAAAGCAAAATATTAAGATTTCTTTTTTTTTTTTACCTGCCCCCATTATGAGTCCTGGAGCTGTATCCTTAGTATGAACCATTCCTGACACATATGGATTATCTGGCCAGCGCAGATGAAGATGAAGATGGCAATCAGGCTATAAAGTTAACAAAGAAAAAACATTGTTTTTAGCAGAGTAAGTGGAATACCTTTAATTTCTGAAACAGCCACACCAAGATTAAACAGAACATGACAATTTATTGTTACTATGAATGTAATAATGGTATTATATTGAAATTTTCACCATTGCACCAGCAGAAAATATTATCACAAGGTACAGGTAGTCCTCCAGATATGACTGTAATGAAGCCTGCTCCTTATGGTCCCATCCCAGCAATTGTTAGGTGAAACATGTCACCTAACATCCCCCTATCCCTGCTCTCCCCAATGAAATGTAAAACGAACATGTGGGTTGTTAAGTAGATACCATAGTATAGACTCAGGCCTCCTGTCCTAGCCCTCTCAAGCCCTTCTCCCCATCCAGTGGTGGGTTGCTACTAGTTCACCCTGGATCAGGCAAACCAGTAGTGGCAGAAGGCTCCGCTCACCCGCCCGGATGCTTCTGCACATGCGCAGAAGCGTTGCACGTGCTCATGAGTGTGCGCGCCCCCACCAGAAAACTGGTAGTGATGGGTTTTGAAACCGCCCCTGCCCCCATCCCTGAGATGTCCCATGCTCCACTTCTCATGCCTTGGGTCTCAACAGGCTTTTCCCCGTTCCCACTGGATCCTCCCAGGCCTCAGATCTGATTCCCATCCCACCAGGCAAAACACCCTTCTCCTTCCTAACCTTCTGAAGAACACCAAGTCCTTTCTGAATGCAGGGGTGATTTTCTTCTTTGCATGGCTGCATGGCACAGTTCCAAAAGTGGTCCCTGTTTTGTCCCGCAAACAAAATGGCAGCCCCATTTAGGTTGCTTCTGCTTCATTTTGTTGCCTTAACAAGCCCTGTATAGATTCTGTAGTACTGTGTAACCTCTCTAAGGTAGCAGAATGAAGCAGCTTGTCTGGCAGGTGCCATTGTCCCCTGCCACAAACTGGTGGGACAAAATGGTGGCCACATTCATGTTGCTGTTGCACAGCCCAGGGACAATTAATTTTGTTCTGCTATCTTAACAAGATCTGCACAGTGCTGCAGAAGCTTTTTGCATCATTTAGAAGCTTCTGTGGCATTAGACCTCTCTAAGGCAGCAAAATGAAGCAATTTCTATGGTAGTTGCCATTTTGTTCCTGCCCAGAAGCAAGCAGGACAAAATGGCGGCCATATTTGGGTCACTGCAACATAGCCTTGGGACATATGGCCTGCCCTCCTTGTACAACATAAGCTCTGGAAAACTTCAGAAGGTAAGTGTGGTGCATGATGGGCATGTGGGGAGGAGGCCTAAGTGCTGCAGGGTTCCAGCAGGATGGGATGGGGGGAGTGAGGTGGGAGGGGACTGCAGCAACCTTGTGGTTGATCGTAATGGTGAAAAACCTCAGGCCCACTGCAACCATCATAACTATCATATGTAGCCATCATAACTGTTCATATGTAGCTTTTTGAGGGGGGGAGTTCTAATTTTGAATGTTCATTAAATGGCTTGTCATACCTCAAGGATTACCTGAACATCATCAGTATGTAAAAATACTGTATGACATCTTAATGCCATATATACAGGTAATTTTTACTTACTGAATGCCTCTTTAAACAACCATTTAAAGTTATGATTATATTTTTAAAAACCAGTTTTGTGACCAATCCTTGCATTTATAATTGTTGCAGCATCCTGTGATCAAGTGCTATTCAGGTGCTTTGCAACTGGTGCACATTCATGTCATCAGCATTTCTATGTTTTCTAATTGGCTTATAACAGAGTTCATGGAGAATGTGGAAGTAAAAGCATTAAATTCCAGTCATATGACGATTCTCTTAATGATTGCGGTGATTTGCTTAATGACCAAAGCAGAAGTGAGGACATAAACTTGTCACAGTGATATGATGTTTTGTGTAGTAATTCTGGCTGTGGTCCCAATTGTGGTTGTTAAGTGAGGACTACTTGTAACTGTATTCTTTAAAATTAAACACACACACCCCTACTTTGAAGGCTTGTATATTCCAAAGAGATATAAATCTGTTTTAAAACTATTTTTGCCATTTTTAAAATATACCAGGTACAAATGCCAGAAGAATAACTACACATGTTCACAAGACAGAACTTCTGTGCTTAGTCCCAAGATTTTATAAATGTACTAATTACCGTAATCACTCTAATAGTATTTCATCAGCATAGTCTCCGATCATTGCTTTCAGACATTTTAAGTTTTAATCAGCCTACTGATTCAGGTATTTGGGTTTTTAATTGTACTTTTTCCCAAAGATATATAAAGGAAAAATACTGACAAGATTAAGATGAATTAAACAGAACTATTATATTTAAAATGAGCCTTCTGTATAGTGCCAAAGAAAGTCCTTTGATTTAAATAAAGTGGATATTTTTTACTTGTCCGATATTTTAATGCTTATGATTGATAAAATCTAATATGCATAAAAGTACACCTTTCAATTTGCTTGAAATAAATTAAAATTGCTTTTTATTATTTAATTCATATGAGCATAGATTGGATCAAGCCAGGTATGTCCAAGTCCAAAATATATAGTTTAATGAACTATAGAAATTCCAGTACTGGAAGTATGAGGCTTGGGCCAGGTCTTTCGAGTGTTTCATTTTGGTTATCCTTTCATTAATCATCTCCATGGCATCGTCAAGTCCCAGGTGGCTTATATATTCAGGTGTGAAACATAAGTAATAAGCTTTTGTTTGCAAACCTATTACCAATTGTCTTTATTGCTACAATCCATACTGGATAATGACACTCATTAACAACAGTAGAAATAATCTTCTGAGATTTGAAATAACTGTTAATATTCTGGACCATGCCTGAGTTTTAATGCTTGGCAAGCCTACTTCCAGCTTCAGGATTACTTCAGAAACATATTTGGGAGCACTTATTAGAGCCCTTAAAAAAGATGATTAAGTTAATTCATCACTGTTACTGAATATTGTTGTTTATACTGAAATTGCCTACATAAAATTACTACTCCTCCACTTCTTCCTCACGTGAAACTTTTTATTTAAATGATCAATTATTCCCCAAAATGTCATCCATTTATCTGAAATTCACTGCATGAAGGTTTCATTGTATTATTGTATTTCCCATCTTTTGGGGGGCTATGTAAATGCAGTTCACTCTTCATTTAATCAACCAGTCCTCTAATTTAACTTGGGCTGGAAAAGCATAGTTACCTAAAGTCATTTGGTGGACTTCAGGGTTATGTGTTGATTTAAAGCTAAGTTTCCATTATCCTAAATCAATATTTTAGGTTGCATAATCTCTATATGCTCTCCATCCAAAATATGTTGAAGCCAATTGCTTTTCTTTTCCTCAGTTTCTCTCTTGCAAATGCTAGAAAATTCACAATTCCATCTTTATCATTGTTGAACACATGTTGCTTAAATTGCTATTGTAGCCACAACCTAAATACTGAAAGTCCCAAAGGTGCTTTTTCAAGAGGCAACTGGATTTTCTTGTTTTTTCTTTGAAGACGTTTTGCTTCTCATCCAAGAAGCTTCTTCAGCATTGACAGGATAGTGGGGAACGGAAGGATTTATATTCCTTGTAGACAGATGGTCATTTGCATCCTTTTAGAGGGTTGTTGAGACACTTGGAAGTTTATCTGCAACCTCAGGGTCACCTGAGTAGTGCTTCTGGTTCCTGTAGTCTGCAATTTCTTTCTCTGGAAATCCATTCCTACTCCCACACCATTCAAAGTGTGTTCATCCAAACCATTAAAACTTGCCTCCTGAAAAAGCATCTTTGGGACTACCATGACATGGGTGACTGAGAATCTCTACAGACTTTTAGCTATACAATTTTGTTGAGTAGCTATACAAAATTGTAGCTATACAATTTTAAGAGTAGGGGGAAATACTCACTGGTTTGCAGTCAGTTGGTTTACCATTCATATCAGTAGCTGGCGGCATTAGATAATCCCAGTTACGGCCTTTATTAAATGTTATAAGAGTGGTAACTTTTCCATTTATTTTCTGATTAGCCAAAAACACTCCTTTGACACCTTTAACCTATGTTACAAACATAAAATATAGCCAAATTAATAAACAACCAACAAATATATATTCAATGTATTAAGGTTCATTTGCTACTAGTAGAAAAGTGAGCATGTCAATAGCTTGAAATATAACTACTCTCCAAAATATGGATCTGACCAAGGCAAAAACAGAAAGGCCTTCACCATTTTTCCCACCAAAAAGGATGCCTTTATAACAGAATTCTTGTCTATATATATATATAATAGTTAATATATATATATGTGTGTGTGTGTGTGTGAGTGTGTGTGTGTGTGTTTGTGTGTGTGTGTGTGTGTGTATACACACCTTAAAAGGCAGAAATAGCTATCTGAGTCTCCCAGAGAGCAACACAGAGTTGCAGTTTGTCAGCAGAAAAAAGGCCCAGAAACTTGTGAATGAGATTTCACAGAACCAGGGCTGTAGAACAACTTAGTTTACGTAGGTAAAACCTGGCTAGAAAGAATATGCACATAAAAGCCTACGAAAAAGAAAAAGACATATATATATATATATATATATATATATATATATATATATATATATATTAGTTATAAACATTGCAAGAATTCTGTTATTATAAAATAACAAGAGCTAACTGGAGCTGAAGCAGATTTTGCTGTTATGGGAACAATCTTCCAGTAATTTCCACTCCCCCTTCCAAATGCACCCAAACAAAGAGAGCAATTGTTCCTTTAGTTATGTTTTGACTCCTAAGCCGTAGCCTTCCAGGGGCTGCTCTAATTCTACATTTCAAGAAATTCCCTGCCTCAGTACTCTTATAAAGAACTATTTAATGATATATGTACTGCTGATTGAGAGAACACTGATCTAGATAAAACCTTTTGAAATTCATTTTCATGTAATTGTTCATCATATGAAAGTCACAGTTATTTCCAACCAGAATAAAAAATCATCTTTCTAAACCAGAAATCTATTTTCCTTGTATGGGTAAATTACTCTGAAGTTGTGTTGAACATCCATTGTACCACATTTTATACTGCTAATTGCTATGTAAGTAAATTAAGTTGTAGTATGTAGCAGCAGTTCACTGAGGGATAACATTTTCTCTTCCCAAAAGAAAGATAAAGAACAATTCTGAAGAAGGCATCAGTTGGAAGTGTTCAACTTTTGGTTATTGAAGAGATTGATTCTAGTCAAACATAGCAATTACGTAGTTGGTTAATATTTTTAGTCACATGGGTTTAGGTATTCTTCTATTTATGCAGTATTAAACCCTTATCCTATAAATATTTTATGTTGAGAACTAATCCCTTTAAGATACATGGATGTGTAGGGTTAGTCATCTGACTGACCAAATACAAAATCCTGTCATACACCAAATCATTCCCTGTGGAGATAAAACAACTTCTCATTCCAACAGTTTATATAAAGACTACTATTTCAGACAAATATTCTTGGGCACTCTAAGATGGTACATGGCTGAGAGAGGATAATGGGTATGTCAATCCTTCCAGGGAAACCAGACAGGAAATGTGACTAGATGAGTCAATTTTGCTTCATTGTAAGGCTACATTAGCAGAATCTGACAACTGTGAAAGTACAAAAGCCACCTATTTTAACTGCTTGATCAATGAGGGGGGAGTCCTTCCTAAGTTTCTTTCTCTGCCTGTTAAGCTATCCTGCCTCTCTTGTCTGATTGTTTCTTAAGCAGCACTTCTTCCACTCATTCCCCCAAGGTCATCACCCATTCCATTACAGGGTACAAGGGGATAAAAAGAAAGGGTGAAGTTATCCCTTCAAGAGTTTTCTACCTTTGTGTTCAAAAACAACTGAAGGCTCCTTAAAATGTGAAGGCACACCTCTTTTTGAAAGGCAAATAGGCAATTCAGTTATTTGTAATAATTAATGGGCTACATATGTCTAGACCAGGGGTGTCAAACTGGATTTCTTCGAGGGCCAGATCAGCATTGTAGTTCTCCTCCATGGGCTGGTGGGGAGGGAGTGAAGGCTTTGCAAGGGCCTCGCAAGGCCTCCGCGTGGCTCATTTTTGGCCGGCAGAGTGCTACTGGAGGCCGGAGAGGCCGAAAACAGACCACAGGGAGGGGGGCATACATGGCCCATTTTGGCTGGCAGAGGCACCACGGGCTGGTCCTTTGATATTTCCAGGCCAGTCCTGCGGGCTGGATTTCAGCACTCCACGAGCCGGATCCAGCCCACGGGCCTTGAGCTTGACACCCCTGGTCTAGACTGACAGCGTGTACCTTATATATCTGACATGCATTTTGCCCCATAAATGTGATTTAATTACATATGTAGACAGATATATGTATATATTAATAAAATTTGTAGATTGAAGAATTTTCTTCCTATCAGGTCAATATGTCTCAGAAAGGCAGTTAATTAATAGCTACACAGCCTCAGTTGTCAAAAATATACATAAAACAAAGAGGAATACTTTTTCCCTTTTATTTTTAATATACATACCTACTTTTCTATTTATAATATTATCTCTAATACAGCAAGTCCGTGGATTAAGAACCCCCAGTTTTAGGATGATCCATAATTAAGAAAAGAGCGTATTGAGGCAAAATTCAAGTGAATTACATAATAATTCAAGTTCATTTCACTATACTACTTATACAGTATTATATAATAACATTGTTCCAGCTTATGTACAAATTCAATTTAACAGACAACAGGAACCAAACTCATTCTTAAATTGAGGACTGACTTACCTGTAATCAAATAAGATAGTTATATTGATAGGAATATTCCATTTTAGGAAAACAGGAAAACCAGTACAAAAATCTTTAAACCAAAGTCAAAGAGGCTAAAGAAATGTTACTATAGTTAGTAAAATTGTAGTTTTTTTTTAAAGAGACATTTACCTCCAAAATATCTATTAAAACATTCTCCTCAGGTTGCTTGGTACTCCTGACATTTTCTAATGCAATGGAATAGGAAGCGCCTTGCGGGTCAGACTGGTAGAGGTTATATGTGTCAATCTGATACCATTCCTGGATAGCTATAAACACCTGGCTCTCATCAGTGCTGATTATCTGTAAATCCTGAAGTGAAAAAAAGAAAAAAACTATGAGATTTACAACCTGGAGCTACCTAGTGTTAATGAAAATACTGTATATCATGATTCCCATCTCCCCAAAGCAACTCAGTATTATTTGGGACAGAAAAATAGAATAGCAAGGAAGCTTTCTGCAATCACTTTTTCAAGTACAGACTTGCAAAAAAATGCTGCTGTATTTAAGAATTGCATTGACTTTTAAAGTCACAGCAACTTTTTCCTCCTTTATGCAAATGCTTGAAAAAAGACTCAGCTGCTTTAATCAATAGAAGAAAGGTTTTTTATACAATGTCCTAAGTACCGGTACTTCTTTTTGAATCATATCAGACTATGATCAGCTCAATATGGTAATGCAATTTTTCATAAACAGTACATTACATTCTGAATGCAGCTTGTACCAGATTAAAATGCAATTGGGTTAATATTTAATTAAAAAATGAAAAATGCAACTTTAACAGATTAACAGAGTTGGAAGGGACCTTGCAGGTCATCTAGTCCAACCCCCTGCCCAAACAGGAGACCCTACATCTGCCTTTACCTAGGATCAAACTCACAACCTCCTGATTGTGAGGCAAGAGCTCCACATCTAGGCCACCACACCACTCCTAATGTTTAGTGTTTAAAACTAAACATTTTAAAATTAAATAATAAACTTAATTACCAATCACCAAAACTCCATGTCCATGACTAGCAAGAAGTCCTGCACCAGCTCACTGCCTAAGCTTCATTGCAGCAGCAAAGATCGCTGATGCCCTGGTACAAATTGAACAGAAGCACCTCACGATCAGATCTTTTCTCGGTCTGAGCTGCAGCAGCACCAAGTGACCCCACTGGCTGCAATGAAGCTCAGGCAATGAGCTGGAGCCTTTCCCCGGACAGCAGGCAGCCAGCCAACCTTGAGCTGGTAGCCAATCTGCTCCAAAGCCCAGAGCCTCAAGACTTTTGAGATGACAAAAGCAACGGGACTCTGCAGATGGCACTTTCATGGTTCCTGCATCTTCCTTCTTCATCTTCAGTTCTTTCTGTGTGCAGGCAAATATCTAATAAGATTTAGCCCATAATGATGTTCTATCATAGGATATGCATGGTGCTTAAGTGCAAAAACAAAAAACAAAAAACAAAAACAAAAAAAAAACCCTAACCCTAAAATAAAAGTATGGAAATTATAAAAAACTCTTGAAGAATGATTTATAAATAGAAATATATTTTCCAATAAACAATTTGAGTAAATCTCTTCTAGTCCAGCAATGAAAGAAAAATTATGGATTTTGTAAGAAATTACCTTGGGTAAAGCATACTTTGGCAATTTCATCTGTATAAATTCATTCCGATGATAAGAGACATAGTATTTTGTTTGGTTTCCTAAAGACACCTGTGAAAAAAGAGGGGCATACAATTTTATCTGTGAAAAAAAATGGTAAAAATGTATACAGTAATGACTTATTTAATTAGGAACATGGACTATAGAGAGAGTGCATGTACAAAGGGCACTAATACAATCTTGGGCATCTGCAGAAATTCTTCTTGAGTGAAGTGGGGAAAGAGTACCTATCAAGCTATGGGTAGTTAACAGCTTACGTGCTTGCACTTTTAAACATTATTTTTGGAGTGAGAGGACAACTGGGGATACAATGAGCAAAGCTGTAAAGAAACAAATGAGATTAGCTTTGTTAATCTGGGGGGACTCTACAAATGGAAAAATGAACTGTACGGACACAAAGTTACCAAACCTGTGCTAGACAGTCTTGAAAGTAGCTACCCAATTAATCAGCTATATGATAGAATCAAAACTATTTGTCTTGTGAAATTTGAAATGAATAATCTACCTGCAAAGTAAGGATGATGCAAATTATGCAACATCAGAGACAGTTTAAACTGATTTGTAATATTTGTAGTAATCCCATGGAAAAATGAAATCAACAACATGAACAATTAGCTTTTAAATGGCAGCTTCGATTAGAAAATAACTTATCATTTGGAGGTTAAGGGAAACACCAACATTTGATTACGGTAATTTTTGCACTACCTTCTTCAGACTGCATTTATTTCCTTATTAAAAATCTTTATAAGTAAACAAGCATAGATTTGTACTGAAAATTATGTAAACATTAACATCGTCAATGATCTTACCTGAAGGAATATGTAGTCATCCTGTACTGTCAAGGAATTCTTGTCAATCCTACCATTGAAGAGAGATTTCAGTGATTTTTCAGAACAATTCTGAAACTGACAGGTCATGTAGTAAAAACCTGTTGAGAACCAAAAATAATAGATAAAAGTAAATAAAGAAATGCTCACACTATTTGCCAGAATAAAAGCTGAATGATTCAAAAATTCCACTCTCTTCAACTAATATTGATCTGCTTTCCTTGACAGCTGGTTTTTCGATTTTTGAGCAAGGTATTTCTGCTAAGACTCAGACACATGTAAATTACAAATACCAGAATTGCACATAATTTATAGTATTTTAATAGAACCATGTGAATTTTAGGGTATTTAGTACAGGAATAAAGTATTCTATAAAACCTCTTAATTGGCTCATCATTTCTCACTTGTGGGTTACAATATAAAGCTTTGGTTTTGTGGAATGAAATCTACAAAATTAGAACAAAACATTGAGAACAACTTTGAGACAGGGCTCTTCAAAGAGACATGGTTCAATCTGGAATACTCAATAGGCATACCAGTTACAGATATATCAATTACAATTGCTGCAACAGCACAAAATTTCAGAATCCATGAGGGGGGGTCAGCAGGTGGGCTGAAGCGGTTTGGGTAAGGTTTTTACCTTACTGTCCCATCTGTAAAACACTGTGGCAGAGAGAAGCAGCTGGGTCAGGCCATTGTCTCGGGAGAACACGTGGAGCGCCTCCCCGAGCGCCCAAGACTCACTGTGCTGCTGTGCTGCAGAGAGCACATGGAGCCTCTCCACGTGTTCTCTGGGTTAGCAGCTGTTTTCTCTCTACAACTGTTCTTGCTGGAAAAACGTCTTGTGCAGCACAGCAAAATTTAGCAATTGTGAGTTGCCACTTTCCTTTAAGTCCCATCTGGAAAGTGCTGTGGCAGAGAGAAACAGCACTCAACCTGGCTGCTTCTCTCTGCCGCAGCACTTTCCAAATGGGACTTAGAGGAAAGCAGTGGCTCATGACTGCTAAATTTCGTTGTGCTGCACAAGATGCTCTCCCAGCAAGAACAGCAGCAGAGAGAAACAGCTGCCAACCTGGAGAGTATGTGGAGCGTCTTCCTGAGCACCCAAGGCATGCCCAGCACCAACAAGGGTCGCAAGAAGCAGCCGCGAGATCAAATAACATCTTGTTGGGTGGGAGGCCTGAGAGAAAATTCCTTCTCCAAGAGGTGGCCACCTGGAGTGCCACTGCCCTGGAGCTCTCCTGCCACCACCGCCACTCTGGAGCTCACCTCTGGGATGGATCAGTAAGTTCTTGCTTTGTTCCCCAGGAAGGGCTCCGTCATGGAGGGCTGTGTGCCCAGGCTAGGTGCTTTCTCTTGGGCCTCCCACCTCACATGGGGTGGCGGGAGTAGGAAGTGTGTGGTGTGGAAGGCTGCCTGCAGTTCTTGCAGCCAAAGCTGGGATGTCTGCAAACTTGCATATGTATGAGGTCTTCTGCCTTGAGCAGAAGATTGAACTATAAGACCTTCAAGGTACCTTCTGATTCTTTCTTTTTTAAAAAACAAGTTTTATTAAAAATTTTCTTTCATCGTACATATTTTAGGAACAGAGCGTTGACCGGGTCATATCTTATACATTTTATATATATTAATCCAGGGATGGGTTCTACTTACCTTTACTACTGGTTCGCAGCGGGAGCACCACTTTAGCTGCCAATCCCCACAACAAATGTGATACACGGAGGCCAAAAACGGGGCGTGCGGAGGCTGAAAACGCGACATGCAGAGGCCGAAGGGTGGGGGCCGGTGGTTGGGCAGGGATTCGCAACATTCAGTGTATAAGATGCACTGCAATTTTCACCCACTATTGGGGGTGGGGGGGGAGTGCATCTTATACATTCTGAAAAGTATGGTAGTTCCACTGGATAATCGTTCTCACTGTCAGGAAGTTTCTCCTTAGTTTTAAGTTGCTTCTCTTTTTGTTCAGCTTCCATCTATTGCTTCTAGTTTTACCTTTTGCTTCTTTGGAAAATATATTGCCCCCCACTTCTTTGTGGCAGCCCCTTAAAAGCCTGTTTTGTGACCTGCTTGTCACACTCTTGGGCAAAGCATGTGAGCCATTTCCTCCTTTCAGTGGTCCATGAAAGTAACAGGTAACAGTAACAGAGTTGAAAGGGACCTTGGAGGTCATCTAGTCCAACCCCCTGCTCACACAGGAGACCTATACTACATCTATAGTATGTAGATAATAAAGTTGAAAAAAGGTGAACAACATTTTTACCGAACTATAGATACGTTGAGGCCGGGCATGACAAGGAGTGGCTGTGAGGAGAGGGGCCGGGTGAGGCGCCCCTCAATGTGAGTGATGTCGAGTTGGCCATGCTTACCCAGCCATGTCCACCAAGCCACACCCACAAAACTGGTTGTTAAAAAATTTGAATCCCACCTCTGATTCCACTGTACAACAAATATTTTACATTCCTGCTTCTGAACCCCATACTGGGATTTAGGAATACTGGTGACCTAGTTAAAAATAAATTGGGGAGTCCCTATCACAGACTGACCCAGCATTGGGGAAAAGGTTGGATCTGTCAGAAGCAAACCTGGTATCTCTTTTTGCTGCTTTATCTGTACTTTCTCCCAACCAGCTTTGACTGGAGAAGGATAAGGAAGAAATGAAAGTAAGGACAAAATAACCTATGGGCACCCTGTTCCTCTTCCACTCAACACTGAATATCTGTTTCCATCTCGTTGCTCATGCCAAAGCATTGTGGAAATATATAGCCCTTTACCCAATGTACAACTAAGTAAAACGAAAGTTTTTTGGATCCTGCAGTGAAAATTTTCTTTATTAGATTCTTTAGTAGTGATCACTGGATCTGTCCCACAGGAATAGATGCCAATGCTTCAGTGAACAATCTTTTATTAATGTTTACACAGGCACTACATTAGGACACTTATGGGACACACTCGGGTGGGTTCTAAAATTTTTTACTACCGGTTCTGTGGGCGTGGCTTATTTTGTGGGCATGGCTTGATAGTCATGTGACAATTATTTAGGATTTAGCAAAGGTACTGGTCTACCAGGCTTTTAACTGCTTGCAGAGCTGTACTGATCTACCCATTTATTTTTGCAGGCACCAGTCTACTCATGTACTTTTGCAGGCACTGGTCTACCCATTTATTTTTGCAGGCACCGGTCTACTCATTTGTTTTCTTTTAACACTGATCAGCTGTAGGGCGGCCCTTTGAAGCCTCGCAGCAAGAGTTTAAACAGTTTTTTTCCCCCTAACCATCAGCTGGGACTCAGGAGGCAGCAATAGATTGGGGATGGGGCCAAATAAAAGGTAAGAATAACACGGGGGGTGGGCGGGGGGTGGGGGTGGCAGAACCGGTTTGGTGACATCATATCGTACACACTGCTTGGCTAAGTTACTTTTCATGGAAAGCGGAAATATAAGATTACAAATAAAAAGTTATATGTGCATTGATTTAGTTTATATCCTCTTGTTTTATACAAAATCTTTTGTTTGCCCTTTGTGTACATTATTAGCTCATTTAAGTATAATGGAGTTGGGTTTATTTTCTAGTAATATTAACTTATATCCACTTGATCAATATCATAAATTGATTAAACAATAAATTATTTTTAACCATAATCATACTAATTATGATATCCATTTTGATATCCATAATGAAAGATTTTTTAGATTTTTTTTTACACTGACAATACTATAGCACATATAAAATGAGAAAAAGAGATGAGGAAGAATTGCTGAATGCATGAGAATGAGATAGATTATGGCACTTAGAAAGCAATTTCCATTTTTTGTGAACTTAACTAGATTATTTTTGGTTAATTTTTTTATGAATTTAACCAGAAATGTTCAAAACAAAAAACAACTACAATATCCTAATGAGTACCTTCATTTGGATCTTGGACTTCCATATGAACCAAATCAGGATCTTCATCAACTCCATCAACAGCCCTGTAAGAGTAATAAAATTGCGGTTACCAATGGAAAACTACAGTTTTAGGGTGAATAAACTTAATAATCTATATTTAACTATTGCCAATTCTGTATTTACAGAAAATAGTCTTTCTTTTCCTTGCTTTATTATTAAAATCTCTCAAAATACAGTGCAGAAAAAGATTCAAAAACACTCATATAAAGGAGGAATGATTTTACTATTATCCAAAAATATACACTTATTTCCTGATTTATTTCTCAAAAGCTTGATACAGTCCATGTAAATTATCCTATTTTAATCAATTTACAATGATCTCTGAAGTCAAATTCACAGCTGAGCAAGGTTTTGAACTCCTGCTACTTTAAGTCTAAATATCCAATCCACTACATAAGCAAACTTTTTAAAACTATAACAAGATGTAAACATAAGATAAAATGTTTTCTAACACATAATAAATACTAAATGCTACTTATTATATCTAAAGCATTATCTTTCCTTGAAGGCAGATCTTAAAGAAGATCAATTTCAAATTCATAACTCCTTTGGCATGTTAGATAATGGTAGTTTCATTTGAGAAAATTACTATACATAATTATTGTCACCAACATTGTACACCTCTATGAGCACTGCTAATTAAAATAGAGTTAATTACATTTTAAATTAATTCACATTACTATCTACCTCACCAAAACCAAAGTGTTGAGAAAAACAAATACTATTATTTAGTACAATTTAATCATTCTTTAAAATAAATAGTTAGCAAAACTCATTCCAACTATAGTATTGAGACTGTGTTATACCTAAAAGCCCATAAACATATTTGGTTGAGTTTTTACTTCTTCAAAAAACAAGTAATCTCAATATCTATAATTTCCAAAATTATTACATTCAACTTTCTAGGCAAATTATTTTTTTAGCTCACTTAACAAAACATTCATTTTTATATCTCTATCAAGAGAGTTCATCAATCTGTCTCATCAATAAACTAAACTGTGAAGTTAATTTTAGAATTTTCACTAGAAAATACTGAAAATCTCCCTTTAGATAAGTATAGTAAATAAAATGACATTAACAAAGTAATTTGCAGTAAATTATGTTTACAGAAATATTTCTGGAAAGCAATATTGACTATGGATGTTTAAATATTGTATCTCTCCTTAGGTTCCTTAAGATTTCACGTATTTACCATACTTTTTTCACTATAAGGCGCTCCGGACCATAAGACACACCTAGCTTTTGGGGAGGAAAACAAGACAACAAAAGACCTACTTCTGTCTCCCAGCCCCAGTACCAATCAATGGGCTGGCCGACCAGAAATGGCACTATTGCTGCCTCCTCTATGTCTGTTGCCTCCGCCGGGGAACGCTGGAGCCTTCGCCAACGTTCCCCAGCTATCACTGCCACTCACCGCCGCTCGCTGCCACCACTTATCAGCGGTCAGATCAGCCTCCTGGAATACAGCTGATCAGCTGTTCCAGGCGGTGGCGATCCCCACTGCCTGGAAGAGCAGATCAGCGGTATTCTGAGAGGCCGACCAAACCGTCGATAGGCAGCAGTGAACAGCAGCAGTAGTGACCAGCGGCAGTGGTGAGCGGTGGCAGCAGCAAAGGTGGCGGTGATAGGCAATAATTGCTCCATAAGACACACAGACATTTCCACCCACTTTTTGGGGGGGGAAAGTACGTCTTATTGTGCAAAAAATACGGTATATATATTTCAAAATTCATTCCTTTTCTTTTTTAAAAAAAAAATTATTTATTTATTTACAACAAAATATTTACTCACACACAGATCGCAACGGGAGCTTTACAGAATATATTAACTTCAGTCAAGATATACAAATAAAAAATAAAATCTACACTAACCTTATCCTTTTTTTATTCTATTATTCAACCAAGTATACCATTGGTCCCAGCATTGAAAATATACGGAGTCTTTTTGATCTCTCAAAATTTTTGTTAACCTGTCAGCTTCCGCATATTCGATAATTTTTCCCAGAATCAAGTCTTCAGCCGGTAGGTCTTTCCCCTTCCAATGTTGAGCAAAACATATTCTTGCTGCGGTTGTGATATATGTAATCAGACACCATATATTCGTGCCTATCTTATCTGGCCTAATATTTAATAGATAGTATTCTGGTTTCAATTGTAATTTATATCCCGTGATTTCTAATATCCACCTCTGTATAGATCTCCAAAATTCGATTGCCTTAGGGCAGGTCCACCATACATGATAATAAGTACCTATCTCCCCACACTTCCAACAATTTGGGGAGAGTCCTGGAAACATTTTGGCTAATCGAGCAGGAGGGAGATGCCATCTATACACCATCTTATACAAGTTTTCTTTGTAAGCGGTTGCCATCAGAAATTTCAATTGTTTCATCCAAATTTCTTCCCATTTTATCAATTCAATTGAGTAACCAATATTTCTCCCCCAGGCAATCATTGAGTCTTTAACAATCTCATCCCCTATCCAATAAGTTATTAAGAATTTATAGATCTCAGATAATATTCTTTCCTCCTTTCCTAATATAATACTATCTATTTCTTGCTGGGTCATGCCTATACCACTTTTTTCCTTGTCTTTCTTATATTTAGAGCTGATCTGGGCATAGGACCACCAATCCAATTTTATTCCTTGAAGCTCTAACTCAGTTCTTGTTTTTAAGCAGCCTTGGGCATCCAACAGTTCCCGATAGGATAGGTGTTTTTCTCTATTATAAAGCGAACTATATGTTGTAGCTTCTAACGGAACCAACCAAGAAGGAGTCGAAAAGTAGAGTTTACCCTTAACTTTCCTCCATGTATCAATTAGAATATTCCTTGCATAATGTCCTGCAAAACTCATATGTTTTTTTTTAATATCTTTATTAAATATTTACAGTAAAATTGACACATAATAATGATTGGAAAACAATATAAGAAATGAAATGTAAGGACACATAAACACAAGACTAAAATGAAACAACAAACATGACTAACTGAGAGTTAAACTCACTCTCCAATTAATATTAACTAATATCATCCTAACCAAACATTTCAATACAATCAAGTTCTTTTAATTATCTACAAAACAATTGGCCTGTTTTTTTCAAGATTATAAAGAATTATATAGCCTATTAAGTATCTATTTAATCTAATAAAACTATCTTATCACCCTAGGTTTAACCTTTTTTTAAGCCAGACAAAGCATCTGTCCCAACTTTTATTATATATTGAGTCTTTCTTATCTTTTAATATATATGTTAACCTGTCCATCTCAGCACATCGAAGAATCTTATTTATTATCAGATGGGCGTATCTGCATCTTTCCACAGTTGAGCAAATGCCATTCTTGCCGCTGTTGTGACATGGACAAATATGTACCAATCCTTTTTGTCAATGTGGTCCCGTCTTATTCCTAGTAAGTAGAGGTCTGGGTGAAGGGGAAAGCTCACACCTGTTATTTCCAGCAGCCACTGCTGTATTTTCCCCCAATAACGTCTAGTCGACGGACAAATCCACCACTGATGGAAGAAAGTACCCTTGGCCGACCCACATTTCCAACATCTATCAGAGGATCCTGGGAACATCTTAGCGATTCTGGCGGGGGGGAGATACCAACGGTAGATCATCTTATAAAAGTTTTCTTTGAATGGGGAAGAAAGGGTCAATTTCATAGTTTTGTTCCATACATTTTGCCATGCATCAAGCTGAATTGTTGTTCCAATATTTCTCCCCCAGGCAATCATCGTGTCCTTTACAATCACCTCCGCCATAAATTGGATAGAAGAAAATTGTAAACGTTGGAAATAAATTTCCTTTGGCCACTTAGGAGAAACTTGTCAAAAGTTTGTAAATGAAGGGAAATACCATGTTCCTGTCTATCCCTAGCGAATCTAGTTTGAATTTTCACATAGGACCACCAATCTATATCTAATCCTCTAGTTTGGAGATCGGCTCTAGGTCTAAGTCTCCCGACTTCATCCAACAAGTCACCATAAACCCAGTTTTTCTTTGTGTTGTGCACAGTCGGAAGGGACACTGCCTCTAACGGAGACACCCATTTAGGAATCTGTGTGTAAACTTGCTTTTTCACCATTTCCCAAACCCTTAATAAAATTCCTCTAATATAATGATTTGTAAAATATTTGGATTGTTTGTCTTTCTGAGACCACAAGAAGGAATGCCATCCCTGCTGCAAATCATATCCTTCAATTGCTAAAATGCGCTTTCTTGAGAGGATCACCCAATCTTTTATCCAAACCAGGGATGAAGCTTGGTAGTAAAGCTCCCACATAGGGAGCCCCAAGCCACCCCTTGTTTTGTGCTCTTGCAGCATTTTTCTTTTTATACGGGGTTTTTTACTCTGCCAAATAAATTTACTTAGAATTTGGTCTAATTTCCTAAAAAAAATTTTATCCAATCTTGCAGGAGCCGTTTGAAATAAAAAGATCCATTTCGGTAAAACATGGGCTTTTATCACGGCAATTCTACCCAAAAATGAGATCTGAATATGCTGCCATCTCTCCACTTCGTTCGCTGTGTCTATTAATAATTTAGAATAATTGAGCTCTTTGATAGAAGAATATCTATTTGTAAGCCAAATACCTAAATATTTAAGTTTTTTGACACAATTAATCCCCATAATACTTTGGATCTGTTCCTTTTGGGCACCTGACAAATTTTTTGTTAACATTTTGGTTTTATCCTTATTGATTTTTAATCCCGCTATCTCCCCGTATTCGTCTAATTTCATAAGTAATTTTGGTCCCGTATTAAGGGGATCTTCTAATATGAAAACCAAATCGTCGGCGAATGCTTGGAGTTTGTATTCTTCCCCTTTAACTTTTAAGCCCTTAATTTCCGAATCCTGCCTGATCGTCTTAAGAAGTGGTTCAAGTGTTAAAATAAATAGCAGCAGTGAAAGAGGGCATCCTTGTCTGGTACCTTTATAAATCTGTATCTCATCTGATAGTGATCCATTAAACAATAGCCTTGCCAACTGTTTAGAATAGATGGCTTGAACTGCCCTT